CGGAGGCGATAAAGTATCCGAGGGGACGCGTATCCCACTCGTAAATACTGCCGACCGTACCACGCAGCCAAGACAAAGGGGACGTGATTTTTATTCCATACCTTTTATAATTTCAATCCTCTGAATTTTTTTGGAGGGCAAAGTTTTTTACGGGAGAAAAGTAACCAGACGGTTATAGGGACAACGTGATTATTTGAAGCTTTTAAATAACCGTCACGGGTTAAACCGAATAACGAGCTCAGTAACTCGACCTAAGGGATGATGCGAATCTCTGGGCTGGATTTCACTGGTATAGATCTTAGGGCGAGATGCTAAGACGTTACCACAGAGATATTTCAATTCTATGTCTGACCCCACTCGGTATTTACTACTGACCGTAGCACGTGCTGTACATACAACAGCCAGGAAGCGTATGGCGACGTATCCCAGCCAATATGATCTACCTGCTTACTGCAAGAATCAAGCTGGTAATACTTTCAGCCGTCAGAGTCAATAGCTAAGCTAATCCTTTTAGTGCTTGTAATCATCGACTCCTTTCAGTCGTCACATCGCTATTATCCTCGATTGGCCTTTTCGTAATTTTCGTCCTACTTTGCTCCAGATTCTCCTTACAAATTTCTCCCCGCCATTAACCTTATATACATTTTTCTAATTTACTCGCGTTACACTTTACTGAAACTTTACGTTAACTTACTTACGTTAACTGAAACTTACTTAACGTTGCGAATATAACATTGATAGACCTGCGCTCACGTCTTTGCCGATCACGAAGTGACCGCTCCTTCCTGTCCACGTTTGGATATTTAGACTCAGGATCCACGTCCTTTCAAAGGATTGAACGTGGATAGAAAATGGTCTCTCTCTCTCTCTCTCTCTCTCTCTCTCTCTCTCTCTTTCTCTCTCTCCCTGTCAAAGAATAAAGTAGAAGTAATGAGATATCGGCTAGTGGCTCTGGCCATGAGGTGGCAGAAAGTCCTGGAAATTGATTCCCCACTGCCGTGACCCGGTGAACTGGGCTCACATTGAATAGCGAGGTACAGAGCGTTAGGATGATAATAAAATAAAAAAAGTAAAGTAAGTACTTACCGCTAAGATTTTATGTAAATTTAAAAACTTCATAAATAATATAAGCGTATCCATTGTGCCAGAAAATGCACCGAGAGACACGCAGCAAGTCAATTTTGCCTATTTACAAGAACTCTTAGATTTTCTCGCCGATTACTTCAGATTTCCTGGGTTATTTTCTGCTCGATCGAACCCCTCGGGATGTGTCTAATGGCAATTACTTTTTGTCTGCTCCCTTCATCTAATACAGTAACGGTTCCTCGGTGGCGAAAAGTGCCGAAAATGGATAACTTAGAAGGTTTTAGGAGTGACGCAAAGGGCTAACGCGATTAAAGCAGTATCAGCCCTTCAAGGGATGAACCGGATGTGGGATAGAATTAGGACACGGGTGGTTGGTGTGACAGCAACAAAGTTAAATAGTGTATAGACGAGCACTGAGATCAGAACGAACTCTAACACAATAAACCCCAGTGTGTGTGTGTGTGTGTGTGACAGAGAGAGAGAGAGAGAGAGAGAGAGAGAGAGAGAGAGAGATAGCAGATCAACGAAAGAGAAGCGAATGAGAGAGGAAGATCGAGAAGGAAGTAGGCATCACTGAGGCAAAGCAGTAAATCTCAAGCCTGAACCGTAGATTCCTCTATCCCTTCTCACGTAGAACAACCCTCTTCTAACCTCCCGTCCAGCCTTCTTTCATCTCCCCTTTCTTCTGTCCCATGCAACTCCATTACGCCCCAGTGCCGACTCCTCCCCGGACTACATAAAGTCATGCTCGCTCTCGCGAAAATACCCCGGTTATATGTAATTTCGTTTGACCAACTAATACCAACCGGATAAAGGATTCCAGTGGTCCATGAGTTCATGAGAAAACTTTGCGTCCCACCAGCTACATATTCCTTCACTGCATTAACGGATCACTTAATCCTTTCGTGCTCCAGTCCTCCATCCGATAAATGCAACTTGGCCAAAGTTACATCAGATTCGCATGACTCTCCTACAGATATATTTCCGCGACTCTACAAAATCATGCCTAGTGCACATGTACATACATAGTACAGCAGCGTACGACAAACCTATTCTAATTATTCTACCTAGAATTTAAATGTAATAATTAGCCGTAACCTCGTTAGCTCATTACGTTGCACGCGCCGATGGCTCGAACCTCGAGAGTCAGACACGCCAGGTAATAGATTTCCAAACAAGTGCTGCCTCAACACACAGAGGAATACAGAAACACGCCTTAGTTTATGGGAAACACGAAACTCCACACGGCTGACAGAAACACGAGATTCCATGCTTAAAGTAAAAAGAATAGCATCTTCTTTGTTGGAGCATCCATCCATCTTGTTATATCTTTTATTTATCTCCCCCTTCTGCCCTCGACGTGGCAGACATTGTAGGCAAATTCAAATTGAAAAGTTCGGAATCTCCCAGTAGAGTCAGACCAATTTTCAGAAATTACTGCGAATTGATGCTTTTCGTTCCTTTAGGATTCTTTCTTGGATATCCTCCTGTCAAATGACTTAAGGTTTTCCAAGCGAATCTCAGGAAGCAAAAGGAATCGACTCTATCTGCCTGAGCTAACTTACTACCGCCGAGCTTGTACTTTCTTTTACGCTCTCATTTCTTTTTAATATCCATAATAATCTATATACTTAGTGTGGCTATATATATGTATGCACACTACATAGTGTAGAATATCGTGCGAAAATACCTGATGGAGAAATGGAGAACGAGTGCCGTGGGTACTTGGGTTGGCTGGTGTCGTTCTCCAGAATGGAATTGCACTTCCGAGCACAAGTATTGCACTGACGATTATTCTCAGTAGACGAAGAAACATGGAAGCCATTCGCTAGATTCTCAAGGAGGTTGATATTCCCTGCTACATCGTGTCGATTACAAGTGAGAATTTATCCACCGAAAGTTTTCCCTTTCGAGAATTGTACGTAAGGGATCTGGAATTGTCGGCGTTGAAAATTTACGGCAAAGGCGACGGCTATAAAAAGCCACATGGTACAAAAAGGTTCGGCTGTGAGAAATTAAAGGGACATATGGCGTAATATTACATATACACGTCTGCAGAGCTGTACCGCAGAAAAATGGAGCATCTTGGTTCCGGTTCTGACAGTCGGACCAATGAAATTTCATAGGACGTTTCATCCGGTGCAAAAGGATGACTCACGCTCCGGTGTAGCATGAAACGCGCACCCAGAAGCTTCTTTTCCTAGACTTTTCCGGCTTCTGGTTTGGCGCTATGGAACGAATTGAAGCAATTACTTGAGATTTATGGGAGATTTAACATCCGCGGAAAAGCAAGTAAAAAATGTATACATGGAAAGTCCCGTGTGTGGGTGTATATTGTATACATATATATATATCATATATATGATAGAACTGGATTAGCTCGCAGCAAAATTATAGCGATTGATCCAGCACTTGGCGGATGATCGAATCGGATGAGTCTTTCCCAGGGCTAAGCAAATTCAGGAAAGAGTAAATTCTCAATTGCGCGAATCGTCAAATTCCTTAGGGCAATACAAGGGTTACGGAGCCCTAAGGAGATAGCCCCATCACGAAATTAAATTACATTCGTGAGAAAGTAAAGAATGAGCGCGCATCAGGATCTTGAAGAATATTCTTGTTACGCCGATACGAGCCTGTTTCCTCCCGTAAGAATCCAACCGGAAAGTTCACTTGTTAAATTAACCGTTCTTTCTCTATTTTGGCAAAGAATTTTAAGGTTATATATATATATAATAATTCCCTCGTTAAGGGACTGAGCGACTGATTGTGAGTGTTAAAAGCAGCAGGGGATGAGGGGCATAAAAAATGAAGAAAAATTCAGATGCGAAATTATTGGCGCTTGACAAATAAAATTCATTGTGGGAGGAGGGGTCGAGAATGTCAAAGAGAATAAAGAGGAAGAGAAAGAGAGAGAGAGAGAGAGAGAGAGAGAGAGAGAGAGAGAGACGAGCAGATTACAATCGATCGTCGAGCCGCACGCGACAGTTAAACTATTAATAAGTTGTTTATGAAGGAGCAGCTGCTACAGAAATACGTTGGTGCGTATCATTTGCGTACGGTCTCCCTCTTTTCCATTGGCACACATATATACGTATACACCAGAACCGTTAATAATCAGAAATCGTTCAGCCGGAAAGTTAATTGCCAGCCGCCCCGATTGTGTCCGGCGAGAATTGGCAAACTGCGTCGTCGAAATTTCCGGATTTTACGTTTATAATGTTTTCCAAGTACCCTGTATCGGCTCAATTCTCATGCCCTTATTTTACTTAGGGATGTTCCTTACCATTACGACCACTGAATTACCTTGGCAACTGTTACCTCAGTCCAGAGTCATACTTCAAACACGGATACCAACCCACCTCAACACAACAAATTCCCTTAACATATGTGTAGCTTTGTATAAATATTCCAACGATACATCCCTTAAATACGAAGCGATATAACCTGTTCATGTGAATTGCTTAAATTCTTTCGATGGTGGTATGAATTCTCTGAACCTTTGACTTGTCTGAAGGATCATTAGAGCCAGTGCACGTGCGTGGAAATCCAAGCGTCACAGATCCAGCCCCTGGCAATTTCGCCTCAACGTTCACTCTCGCTTTCCTTTTTTCTCTCCTCCTTCTCGTCATCCCCAATGAAAGTTATGGCTCACAATAAATTGTGAAACAACTGAAGGCTACCAAGACTGTGAAAGCCTTACATAATCCAGGATGTCGTATTTTATTTAGGATTTGAAAGATCTCTCCTTAACTTGGAATTCCTACGTTAAGTCCAGGTAAGAAGTTTCCAGCTGGAATCAATTAAGGACTACTTACTGGCGACATCAGAAGGAAAACATATATTATTCGTATTATCGTTTTTTAAAATGAAATTCTTCAAATACACTCAGCACGCGTCGTCTTCTTGTTTTACAGAGTAACCTGACAGATAGGGGAGATCTTCCTGAGGACGCTTTCTCGCTACTGTCGGTGCTCCTAGTTGGTTCGCTAAACTTTTATACTTGATCGATCGCACTTAGCTCCCGCGAAGCGGCCGATAAAAGTTCACGTCTTGGGCAAGGAACCCCGGAGACCATCTAGTACGGAAGTTAATGAGAATTAGTGTCCAAGAATGGCTGTAGCCGAGAGCGTTACTTCTTCATACTTATCCATAATTGAAGATGGCTAAGTGAAGCATCGTACTCTCGTGAGAACTCGATCGAAATTCCCAACAGTGCTCCTAATGGAGCGCCCACGTGTGCTCGTATGAAGATTCTCTTAGAGTACGGAAATATAAAAATAATAGGGTCAAGCTGCTTCGAGGGAGCTGATACGATTAGTTAACAACAAGAAGATGAAGACGGAGCTTTCCATTTCAGGATTCTTATTATCAATATTGATATTTCTGTCTGTGGCTGGTAACGTGCTGGTATGCGTGGCCATTTACACGGACCGCGGTTTGCGGCGAATCGGTAACCTGTTCCTGGCCTCGCTCGCCATCGCCGACCTATTCGTCGGTTGCCTGGTAATGACCTTTGCAGGAGTCAATGATCTCCTAGGATATTGGGTCTTTGGGCCACGCTTCTGCGACACCTGGATCGCCTTTGACGTGATGTGCAGCACTGCCTCTATCCTGAATCTCTGCGCCATATCCTTAGATCGTTATATCCACATTAAAGATCCTCTCAGGTAATTCCATAGAGTCCATCCACTTGGTCGAGCATCTACGGCTCTCGTAATATACTCGATCGATCTCATCTGTTGTAATAGATATGGCCGCTGGGTAACGAGAAGAATCGCAGTGGCTAGTATTGCCACTGTGTGGCTTCTGGCTGGACTCATTTCCTTCGTACCGATCAGCCTGGGACTTCACAGGCCGGATGATCCCTTGGTCTACAGCGACGGGACGCAGGTACAGCCTCGATCAATCTATAAAATCAATCATTTGTTTACTGCAAAAGACTGAGTAATCGCATACCCACAGCCTGCGGATATATTTCAGGAGTATCCGACGTGCGCCCTGGACTTAACACCCACCTACGCAATAGTCTCATCCTGCATATCGTTCTACGTACCCTGCGTCGTCATGCTCGGCATCTACTGTAGACTCTACTGCTACGCTCAAAAGCACGTCAAGAGCATCCGCGCTGTAACAAAATTACCGGACACTTCAATAGCTAAGAGCTTTCGCACCAAGAGCAGATGCAACAAGCCCCCGAAGCCGCAGACCAAGCTGAAACCAACTAGTCCGTATCACGTGTCCGATCACAAGGCCGCCATTACAGTTGGCGTGATAATGGGCGTCTTTCTGATATGCTGGGTGCCATTCTTCTGCGTTAATATCGTCGCAGCGTTCTGTAAGACCTGCATACCAGATCGAGCCTTCCAGGTTTGACTTTATTATAACCATTAACGTCCTACTATTTTCTTGTCTCTGTGTCGCCAATGTTATCGCATCTTTCTTATCTGCAGGTTCTCACCTGGCTAGGATACAGTAACTCGGCCTTCAACCCGATAATCTACAGCATCTTCAATACCGAGTTCAGGGAAGCGTTTAAGCGTATCCTAACGAAGGGTGCTCGGGCACGTGGTAATCAGCCGTCAACCAGCGAATGCGGTGAACTACGTTCAGTGGTGGTTCATAAAAGAAATGGTTCGACCGTGGAGTGCAATATCAGTCCGAGATCGAGCGCGGGGAGTTGTCAAGTAGGAATGGCCGCACAAAAACATCGTGACACCATAGTCAGCGCAATATAAACTACCCACCGATATTCTCAATGGGAGAATCAAATGAAATAACGAAGAAAAATTGAGACGAAAAAAAGATATATTATCAGAGTCAAAAGGACTTGGTCGCTCTTACTATCAGTCATATAATCGCTTAGTCTGACAGAAATAATGCGACTCGGGTAACCCAAGAGGACAATCATTAAGGCAAAAAGGTAAAATGATAAAAATTCTAGTCAAAGACATATCTAAAAGGCATATTCAATTATTACGTGGAAAGAATTATAGTCGATTATCGTAAAGTTAACGATCCGTGATAAAATGAAGATGATTCCAGTAGTATGTACGTGGGACTTAAATGACGATAGAGAAAATGAGGACATAAAGAAATTAGAAACGTATGAAATTTCGCCAATATAGTTTAGATTATGAACCTCGGTAGCAGGTGTTATGTGTCGGTTATTGGTAAGGGCGTAGCTTTACTCGGGATGAAACTCAATAAACCTGACGTAAGGCTCCTCTCGTTACACGATAATGTTCTAATAGTGACGTCTACTGAGTCATAGATCACAACTTACTAGCAATAGGTGAACACAGGCAGTCTCCTGCGCTGATTCATTTGACATCTTGTAAATAGTCATTTATTTATTTTTCTATCTGGCGGGATACGTGGAAGCAATCCATACAGAGCAATACTCTAATTAGAGACGTGGTAATTACAAAATATAGACTCACCACTCCCAATTAATCTAAGTTGATTCAGTACATGACATATCCACTCGAACGAGGCGGAATATAAAATTGTTTAACAAAAATGACGTGTGAAAAATTTTTGATGAAATTTGAATAGCAACACAGAAGGGCGCGTCAGGATAATCAGGTAAATTGTCTAATGCTTTAACGACGAGAGTCTAAGTACACCTAATCATACGTTAACGTACACAGTGCTCCGATGAGCATATGTGGCGCAAGCGTTTAGAGAATTAGATCTCTCGCAGATAACACTCGTATATATTATATATACGAGGTAAGCGTACCTTTTTTTATCGGACCAGTCTGTACGCCAGTATTAATGTATACTAAAGGTATGTTCGAATGATCGTTCTCTGTAAATATATTAGCATAAGACTTCCAAGTGTGTCTTTCATGAGGTGGTCCTTAATTCCTGATCCTTCTAAACAATATGGTGTTGCCTTGACCGAGTTGCCTTGATTCATTAGGTGAATCATTTAAATGCTTTGATCTGGCATCTTCCCAGGTACGATTTTCAGGAGGTACAGACAGGTAATCTAACAAATTGCTACTCATCTTTGGTACTATTGGATACAGAATTAGGCCACTTATTCTTGCTGCTTCTAATGCAAGGGATATTACTGCTTTAAGTTGATTTATAGATTCTGGATTATTTGTTTCTTTTCTTAATTGCCATGGTTTGTGATAATCCACCATTTGATTTGCACTGTGCAGGGTACTCATTACAGCATCTACTACATGGTGTAAATTATACTCCTTATAACTCTTTTCTGCAGTGTCCTTCAAAGTTTCAAGATTACGCAGCAAGCTCTTGGCTGAATCTGATTTGAGGACGTCACTGCATTCTGCTGGATTTGGTATTTCTCTGGTTGGATTAACAGTTTTACCTGTGCATCGGCTGATTAAGTTACCCAAGGTGTCAGCCAGTTCAGAGTTTACAATTCTCTGTACTTTCACAGCGCTGTAGTCTGCACAAAAAAATTTTTAACAAAATTGCATATTTTCCTTTGGATTGAAAACACTAAAAGTTTATAAGTGCCAAGGCATGATTTTTTATTAGTCCGTATACAGAAGTTATAGTGTTATTTAATTTTGTGTGAAAGTGAACGAATCCCTTGAACAAAGCAGTTGTAAAGTTTTCAAATTAATTTCAGTTTGTGAACTATTAACAGACAAGGCAATTCCAACTTTCTCCTGTTGGGTGGTTTAGGGTTTAATTTAAAGCCACCATCCAGACAGAGAGCCTACTTTCAGTTATGCAATTTAAAGAATTACTATGATTTATGGTTATTAAAATGCTTCTAATAAATGTATTAAATCATCTCTTAAGCATAATAATAATCTGTCAAACAATATAATATCAATGTAAATCATATCATCAACTGTACGTACTTGCATCACTATGAGGTACAGCTTCTCGTAAAAGAAAATATCTCAAGCCATCTTCTGTAAATGTTGCAGCAGCTTCAAACGGAGATACGACGTTTCCTTTTGATTTTGACATTTTTTCACTTTCCACAGTCCAATGAGAATGACAAAGCAGAGTCTTTGGCGGTTCCAGACCAGCAGCAATTAAAAATGCCGGCCAATACACACCATGGAATTTTAATATGTCCTTTCCAATTACCTAAAGCCACGAATACCGTTTGATAAACTCTTATTCGTGAAATCAGATGCACCCGCAACATATAAAGGGGTCAACATTATTTTACCTGAACACTTGGAGGCCAAAACTTTTTATATCTCTCTTCTGGATATCCAATGACTGTCAAATAATTAACCAGCGCATCTAGCCAGACGTAAATACTATGAGTATCATCCTGAGGCACTGCAATTCCCCAAGGAACTCGACGCCTAGGCCTGGACACACTTAAATCTTCTAAACAAGCACCATCTTCTATCCAACTCAATAAAATCTTGTGATACTTGCTCGGTTGCACTGCTTTTTCTAAATCAATCAATCATTATCTAATTTCATTAATAACTTCTAGTAGATCAACGTATTTTAAAAATACCGTACCATCCTTAAGCCAATGCTTGAGATCATCTTGGAAATTGCTTAATCTAAACTTGTAATTATTTTCCTCAGTCCACTCTACAGGATGACCAGATTCATTGGATACTTTAATTATTTCCCCAGAAGCTGTTTTCTTCTCTGTCAAGTCTAAATCCGTTAGAAACGCTTCATCCGATTCGCAATACCATCCTGAATATTTTCCCAAATATATATGACCTCCCGCCTTCAAGGTATTCTGAAAATATTAATGGGAGCATAATATATGGCTCCACGTTATGTGAATATTAATTTCTTATTTTTCTTATACCCAAAATTGATGGACAGTATCTCGATGGCGGGTTTCCGTGGTCCTTATATAGCCTGAATACCCAACATCAAACTTATCGCACATATCTCGAAATTTCTGTGAAATTTGTGTGCAATATTTGTCAATGGGAAGATTAGCATCTCTTGCAGCACGTTCAACTTTATTACCATGTTCGTCTGTACCCGTGCTCATAAATGTTGTGTACCCAAGCATGGATTGAAACCTAGTTACAGAATCAGCAAGAACGGCGCTGTAAAGATGTCCTATATGAGGTCCTGGAAAATTAAAATGATTTATACTTTGTACAAGGACTCGTGTAATAAAATATAATTGATTAATTACCAGCATTCACGTAGAAAATTGGTGTAGTCACGTATTGATTATTTGAAGGATAATTAATGTAGCATCTTCTCATATTAGGCTTCAATAATTGATTCAAATTCCATATATAAGATTTGAACGGCCATTGATATTGAACAGGATACCGTATAAGTGCAGGAAACATGACTGAAAATTATTAACAGTCACTTTATGATCAGAAAAAGCTTGTAATATAAATATCAATTTTTATAAATACTTAACGATTATAAAAAGGGAATAAATAAAAACGACTGTTGCTTCTATTGAATCAGGTTACTATTGGATGGTCTATATACAGAAGTGACATAAAATTATAACAATTAACTGGATTTCATAGACTTGGCACTGGTATTAGCTACAGGCTCTAAGGAAATAGTTTCTAATTGCGCAATAAGATCCATGTGCTTGAACTCATCAGGTTTATGTGTAAATGTTTCCAGTAATTTCAATCGCTGTGGATCATCCATCGAATAATATAGTTGGAGCTCATTCAATAAACACTGTGCCTCTTGCACATTGATTGAATTTGCATCGAACTCTCCGCGCATAAGAACTAAATTCTTACTGTCCCTAAGTTCTGTATAATGCACAATTGTTAAACATTCTGGAGCATTCTCTTTGTGTACTTGATACCAGAGAAGAGGCGTCATGTGAATTTCCGATCCATGAAATTGGCACATGATAAACTCATAACCATTCGATCTTGGTAGGGGTATTAGAAATGTTGGAAACTTTGCACCACGATCAAATATTTTGTCATATTGCTCAGGTGACATGGTTCCAGAGATACAATCCTTTTGCTTATGATACTCTCGCCAGATTTCAATGATCTCCTCCTTGTTTTTATCTTGGATCAGATCAATTTTCATTATATCATTCAACTGAGGTTCCTTCTTCTGCAAAGCTGGATCCAGTGATGGTTTAGCCTTGGATGCTTGTTGAATTTTTTTCTCCTGCTCACGTTTCTCTTTAAAAAATAGTATGTACAATGAAAATATAACATCAATAATGATACTTTTATAAAATAAATACATACATACTGCTTTATTGTATGAATTTATATTTAGATTAGGAAGGTAATCTAATAACTGTCATCCACAATTTTTTTATTATATTCACCTTATATCACTATATACCACCACTGAGGTGCAATTAAAATTCAACAAACCGTCCCAAGATTATTTCATAAGAGGCTTTTCTTGTACAGATTTTTCTTATTTGAATTATACTTATGCATAACATAAAGAACACAACGATAACGCTGAATTCTTAGTAGTAATATTTTGAAAACAGTAAAGAATTTTAAAAAACTATAAATAAAATAGAAAGCTCATTTGACTGCACACCTTTCTCCTCCTTGATTTTTCTTTCCTTTTCTTCTATCCTCTGTAAGAATTCCTCTGGACTAGTTTCTTGCAGTTTAGCTATTTTTTGAGAATATTTATCAAAATACGGATTCTTTTGCAAGTTCTCTAAAACCTTTTCAAGTTTAGGCCGGGTAGTCATGATGAATCTTTGACACAACGTGAACGTGCTTCCCTTGGTGTATTTAGCACGACCCAACCAAGATAATTGTCTACCAATACGAAGTAAAGACACTGCCATCGATCGTTTTCTTTGGAATTACTTATAACTTTTTTAAATAACCACTAATAACGGTACTATAAACCACGGTCTTCTGCTATTTTCGCCATATTAGATTTTCATAGACCAAAGACATCTATTGACATTTTATATTTAGCAATGCAGGCATTTCCTTTTCGAATATAGTCATACATATTTATGTGCAATTTTTACAGTATCAGAGATATCTCCAAATCTGACTGAAATTGATTAATTCTTGAGGACAAATTCGAGTGTGCTAACGTGCCAGTAGGATTGGCAAATGGCACAAGGTTCCGGTTAGCCAGTAACGGAGCAAGCGTAAAAATCAGGTGATTTGACTCCCAAAAGCAAAAGGGCCCGTTTCTTTGTAGCAATATAAATCAATGTTATATAAATATGTACATTTAATTCATATAGGCTATAAAAATAAATATTTGTCACAAAACTTATACGGCGAATATTTTACACACAATACTTAAGTAAGTTATGAACAATTAAATTAGTATAATTTCATTTTAACCCCTAAGGAAAATGGAACTTATTCCACAGTAAAAAGGTAGCACATGCTATCGCAATACAAAGTATGAATCAAACTATTGCAAAACTTCGTAAATATTTCTTGTGCTAAAAAGTATCTAAAAATATAGAAAACAGTAGAAAAGCAACAGGAGGGTCTGTTATATTTTATCTGTTATTATTATCACACTTACTACAGTACTGTATGGTGCCAATACTACAATAGTCAATAACGTTACTGTATGAGTATAAATCAACAAATTTTAAGTTTTCTCTAGACTTTACCAATACGAACATTACTTGTATAAAAATCTTAGCAGTTAAAACTATACTATATAAATTTTGAAAGCTCTGTGAATTAATTTTATTGACTACAGTAAACATGTTGACTACGGCGTAGTCTGACGCATCGTTTCCGCGACGTCAGTTGCTCATGTCTCTAGCGAAGGGGAAAATGTCGGTGTGTTGGGGGCTGTTGTGCCACTAGTGACTTTCGCCTCCGTTTCCCGCGTGTTCCCAACAGATTTTCCATCCAGGGGCCCCGTACCGTTCCCTGCTGGTCCCGTCCTTGAAATTCCCGTGGCCGAAAGTGTCCGGTTGGTATCGCGTGAAGGAAATCGTCGTGTTTTTGTGCGTGCTGTACGGGGCAGCAGTGTTTTGTGCAAGCTTCGTAAGACACCAGAGGAACGAGAGGTATGGCGTCCCTGGCGGCAATTGCGAAGAATGAATTCATCGTGGGCGGCAAATACAGGCTTATGAGGAAGATCGGATCCGGATCATTCGGAGACATTTACCTAGGCATCAACATTTCCAACGGCGAGGTGCGTAATACATTTTTCGCGAAATTTCTCTCTCTCTCTCTCACACACACTCTCTCTCTCTCTCTTTCTTTCTTTCTCCCTCTCCGTCTCTATCACTCTCGTTCCTCTTCGTATATCCCCTCTACTTCTACCTTGTCCTTCTTGTTACTTGCACGTAGCCATAACAAACTGGAACCTCTTGCCGTTATGAAACGGTAGAATGGCGGTTTACCTTTTAAGGTGTACATCCGCGAAATAGATGTTTCGGAACTCCTGATTACCTCGCATGGATGAGATACATACCTTGTAAATAATTCCCCTTGTCTTCTTTGTGTCGCACAGAAATATTTCGACCGAGTTCTTTCTTGTGCTCCAAGAAAGAATAATTTTTATCTGTAGGATTTTACTAGGTTGAGAAATTCTATGTGCATTTGCAAGACCTTTACACAATTATATTAGTACTTAACTTTTGTTTTCACTTTCTATGTAATTTATACAATGTATAACCCATATTTCCAACACTGTACATTTACTAGGATAGATTTTATTCCTTTTTATATTTGAATAAGAAAAATCTGACAAGAGAGAATTGAATAATTCTTAACCCATAGATGAATGTTATTTTTAGAGTGTAATAGAATTATAGAATGAGGTCTCGAAGCTTATGTAGTATGTTTAGTACGAGTTTACTGATGTTTATACCATTTCTTTTTAGGAAGTTGCTATTAAATTGGAAAATGTTCGTGCTCGCCACCCACAACTTCTGTATGAGTCTAAGCTGTACAAAATATTGCACGGTGGTATCGGCATACCTCATATACGTTGGTAATTATTAAGTTTAACTAAGCTTGACATTTATCATTATAACTTTAATAACTGACAAGCTGTGTCTGGAGGTTTTCGTTAATCATCATGCTGTGTATTATTTTGTATCAAATGTATACACAAAATACATTGTTCTTCTCTTAGGTATGGTCAAGAGCGTGAATACAATGTCCTTGTCATGGACCTCCTTGGTCCATCTCTTGAAGATCTGTTCACCTTCTGTTCTCGGAGGTTCACGATCAAAACCGTTTTGATGTTGGCTGATCAAATGATCGGCAGGATTGAATTCGTTCACTGCAAACATTTCATCCACAGAGATATCAAGCCAGATAACTTTTTAATGGGCATTGGTCGCCATTGCAATAAGGTATTATTTCATCTTGACATACCTATATTATGAGGAGGGAATTCGGTATTATGTATCCATATACCGTACAAAGAGATGCCAATCACTACTACTTAATCCAATGGTCGTATGTTGCAGCTCTTCCTCATCGATTTTGGTCTCGCTAAGAAATATAGGGACAGCCGTACCCGATCGCACATAATCTACCGTGAAGACAAAAACCTTACAGGTACTGCGAGGTACGCATCCATCAATGCACATCTTGGCATCGAGCAGAGTCGCCGTGACGATATGGAATCCTTGGGCTACGTACTGATGTATTTCAACCGAGGTTCGCTACCGTGGCAGGGTCTTAAAGCTGCGACGAAGAAGCAAAAGTATGAGAAAATCAGCGAAAAGAAAATGTCTACGCCCGTTGAAGTTCTATGCAAGGTTAATAACAAATGTATTATGAACATTGATCTCGACTCGATATGTGACTCATTGCAAATAATTTCTCATAGTTATCAGTTAGTTGATTTATTTATTTTCAAACTGCAATCTGTTTACAGGGGTTCCCTGCAGAGTTTGCGATGTACTTGAACTATGCTAGGGGCTTACGCTTCGAGGAGAGTCCGGACTACATGTACCTTCGCCAGCTGTTCCGTATCCTCTTCCGTACCCTGAATCATCAATACGACTACACGTTCGACTGGACGATGCTTAAGCAAAAGGTGACGACCGTTAATGTTGCCAACATCACGTCTGGCGGAGCTCCGGGTCAGGGTGGCCAGGCATCACAGGGTCAAGGACAAGGACAGGGTCAACCTTCAGCTCAGACCAACGCTCAATCAGGTGCATCCAGACGTACTGAACCTGATCTTCCGATGCTAGCTCACGTGTAACATGCGAATTTTCTTGTACCTTCGGGCGTACAGTCGTTTTTCCGTGTTTTCCTTTGAATTTCAATCGTTTTCAAGTATCAGTATTGATATCGAATTGTCAATATAGATACTAGGCTATCGTTCGTGTTTACAGTGCTGCAATACGATTCTGCTATTGTTCCTCTCTGGTATTGTTAACTTCTTTTTTTTTTTTATTAAAATACCAGCTGCGGGAGATGTTATTACGAAAAAAGTGTGTGGCTGGGCAACCAACAACAGGTCGCGCCATGCCATCAACAATTTTTCAAAAAAGGACTAAGGATGTCTACCCCGTTGGCCTGTTCATGTCTCCTACCTGTCCCACGAAAACTTCAAAAATGCTAGAAAATCGTCTTCATGAGTTTCCCCTGAAATCCAACTCCATGCCTGAAGTTTTGCATAATCCACAACATTTGATCCGAAGTATAACCAAATCAAAGCGTATCACAGCAAATCATTTTGAAGAGATTCCAAAATTATCGCTTTTATGAAAATAATTAAACAATCGCTACCTATCTGATGTAAATGCTTAAGAGTTATTGGAAAATAACGATTTTCTTGTTTGCTTTAATGTTTTCAAAGGAAGTCTTCCAACCGCGTTCATTTTTCCTTTGTAAGTAGTAGTCCTGTACTTAACCGTTATACCGATAAAAATATAAATATTTTTGTTCGTAAAGTGCAGTAAATCTTTACGCTGATAATAATGTCACTCCGGCGCTCGAATTTCAAGTCCTTTTTGTGAAAGTTTCCATTTACAATCTGTCAGTGACCAACCTAATCCACTATATTTTTCTTTTTTTTTTTTTGGCAATTTGTAATTTACCCGCCATCTTGTAGGCATCCTCTAAACTCGTCAAGGAGTAAAAAATCCGACAACTGGGCAGTAATCCAATAATTTAGAATGTGAATAACGACTTGTCGTTACAGATCGTAAACAAGCGCTACAGTTATTTTACAAACAGCGGGGAACAAGCGATAACTTATCCACCTCAATGATTTAAAATGGTTGAATACGAGCTCTCATTAGAGGTGTACAGGAATAAAAAAAAAAGAAAGAACAAACATTCATAATCGTAATCGAATGATTTATGTGTAGCAATATATTGTTTCATTCGCACGTGAAACTAATATCCATTATACGTTCGTGACGTCGAAATTTTTTTCGAATCTGTTACAGGAGCACGTTAAAGTCTAATCTCCTTCATGATAGCACCAAACCCGAAAGCGAACGCTAACGTGTCGAACAGAGACATAATCCTGATACTAACACCGAGCGAAGGGTCAAGTCAAGCGACTCTCTAAGTCCAGAGCAAAAGAGGAAGCAATTATAGTTGTTGCCAGTGATATTTGGCTGTGTACAACCGCAACCCCAACGACGTCTGGATTCTCAATATAATATTTCTATTCGCGGGAACATAGAGAGAGACACTGACAGAGAGAAAAGAGGAAGAAAGGGGCGAAGGAGTGCGAGTGTGAGTGTCAGAAAGAGGGAGGGGAAAGAAATGGAAAAAAATAAAAAACTGAGAAAAGTTCATGTGCTGTTCCCAATAATTAGAGTTTCGGTTGATAACGCCTCTTCGAGTTGAAGTATCCGAGCAAGATCGGCCAGAGGTTGGGCGCCCTTTCATTTTGTTTTCTTATCTATTCAATTCCTCGTTGATTATCGTTAAGCCAACAAGATGATAAGGAGAAGCTGAGATGATGAAATAAAAGGTTTTGATTATTCTCAAAAACCTTTTTTAATTTTTAAAGTGTGTTGCATTTCGTCAAAATCCAATGTGCCGGCGAACAAAAGTGTGATCCTTGTCGTGAGATGTTGATTCATGCTTTTTTTCATAAAGAGAAAAAGAAAGAAAGAGAAAATAAAGAGAGACGTTACGTAATACAAATTGTAAATGCAGAGTCTTTGTTTTCCATGTCGATATATTATTATTTGGAGTGGGTGTGTGTACGTTCAATTGTCTAATTCAATCCGTAACGCCATGCTTTTGCAATGATTTTTCCCTCATTTTCGTTTTAGGAATGTGACTATCTATATATTATATATGCGAGGAACTATGCTGAAATGTTATGGAATAACATACTGTGTTGTTAATGAGTAACTAATGCCAGATGTATTATAGGCGGATATAAACATAGAATTTCACGGTCTGTTGCCTTGGCCTTCCTGAACAAGTACGAATGACTGCGGCGGCGGCGACGACGACGACGATGATAATGATAACGATAATGATAACGTATCGGGTCCAGTAGAAAACTTACAAACGCTACTGCTATTTTGCATTGGAAGAGAATTTTTATGGATTTTCTAGATACTAAAATTCCTTTGATAGTGCTTCTAAAACATGTGAGTTTATCCTATTTGTATTGGGGGTTAATCTCTCTTTTTTTCTTGACTTAACAAACGTGATGTGAATAATAAGTGTCGAGACTTGCGGTGACTACGCTCCTTGGAAAAATAGGATTATGAATTTTTTAATTCTCGCGAGACCTTCTCAAGAGGACTCTGTAGATGTTAATTGTAACATGGAATCGGCCAAATTTATGACGACTGCTCCAATTTATTTGATTCGACAACTGTTATAATTTCTTTATTTCTATTTTTTAAATACTCTACTCGCTCGGTCCCATGCGTTTATTATTTGCCCACGCAAGACTACAGTACTCGTGCCACGTTTTATGTGCAAATTTTTAGTGTCTTGAGAATTGCTGAGTGAAAGGGATAATTCGCGTCTCAGGAACTTGCTGCGTAAATCTACATATGACAGTCCAAAATAAGTGGCTGAGCGTTTTAATTGAACAATGCTGATTAATTGAGTCGCATATTGGACAATTGATAATGCGTGAACGCGCAGAACTGTACGTTTTAGGTAGATAGGTAGCTAGCTATGAAAAGTGGGACGCGTTCTCCGCTGATATAATGTTTTACCTTCTTTTCATTCGTAACGTCCATTCGAATGAATCGCACCAGGCGATATGTAATCAGCGTCCAGCTTTTAAAGCGCCTAGCACTGATTAATAATTAGAGCTACTACTAACCTCTTGCTCCATGACTTATTACCCACCCACCCACCTTCCTATACTCATCGTCACCCTGATAAACTCACCTATCAAACATTCTTGAAAAATCCTGGTAACGCGTGCTCACTGTGTAAAAGATATTTAGCAGCAAGCGACTGACCAGTTCTACTTTAACGAATAAAATAAAGAAAAGTTAGAAAATGAGAAGAAAAAAAACGAGAAACTGTTCTACTTACGTTAGGACAAAACCCACTGAACTTTTTAGGTAACATAATCACTGTGACGGAAATGTGTGATTGAAAGTGAAAGATTTTTAAAATTGGGGGAAGAAAAAATGACAAAAATAGAGAAACATTATTAGTGAAACAATACGGTGAGGAGAAACAATTATCACGAATACAAGAAAGGTAAACCATGCTCTTACGGGCGTTCGATTAATTATTAATTAATTAATAGTAACGGATAAATGAATGAACGAATGCGTGCGTGTGTCTGTGCAATGAGAACGTATGTGTATGAATATAAGTTAATTAATAACTAATGATACATGCACATGCTACCATCTGGCATAATTATATTATCATTAAAAAAAAAAAGATATGACAGTAACTAAGATATGCGTTATTTCATAATACTGAGAAATACATCAAAGGTTTATTGCTCCCTTTGTCTCTATAAATAAAAACTCAAACATTGTACTATATGTCTGTTTTATTAAGTGTTAAATCATGGTATTTATCAATACAACTTATTAATAAATGCATATTTATTTAGCACGTTTCTCTGAACTGCAACACGCGCACAACGCCTTAAACCAATATATATGTACTGGTTTTTTTAAACTAGACCTCTGTCGTCGTCATAACTTATACATATGTAATCAAAAGGTGCAAAAGGAACATAGTAGACTATAATATGCACAAATAGGATTTGTATAGTTTTTATTTATGGTTTTATATATTTTGCAAATGTTTTACATTGCGATTTGATACAAATATTACATCGATACTTGTGATATCAGCGGTTGCATGAAAATTATAAAATAATAAATTCTGCCCTCTGAGTCTAACAGTTACGGTGTACCAGTCATCGCAGTGTAGACAATGTGCAGGAATTAGAAACAATTATATAATACCGAATAAGATTCATTAAAAAAAGATTAAAAATATAGTAATCGTAGCAAGGTTTAGTCGGTCCACAAACAATATAGCTTAGAGTGAGAGATGTAAAAATACGAAGTCTAAAGCAAGGTTTTCCATTGATCTGCTATGTACAGTACCTTTGGTAAAATTTATTCGCAGTGAGAAAATTTTCTACTGAAGTCAATCGTACGAAACATGTATTACATCTGTCGCTTTAAACCATTTTACTTGTGAACGAAGTATATAGTTAATGACATCAATAGCTCAAACTTGATGAAAAATTGCCAGATTATATGAATATGATTTCGCAAGTTTTGATACTAACAATGTATCATACAGTTACGAAGCTTTTAATGAAACTACTTAAATAATATTGCTGATACAACAAATATTTCTGACCGTATTATAATTTGTTGCTATTGTACAAGTACAAAAACTCATATCTTCACAAAGCGCGAGTACTTAGTAGCATACGAGAGAATGAATTTTTCTAAGTTCCTGAAGACCTACGTTCACTGCGTGCGATTGGGCTACGCCACTGTATGGTAGATTCACTTCAGCTACAATTAATTGATTATCTTCTTGCATAGCTGCTGCCATCTCGAGACTTGGGAATACTGCGAAATCTGCTTCTGCTCTTCCGCCTAAGGTTCTCCTTATGGTCTCTTCTCTGACCTCGTTCTGGATATGGAAAGAAATCGAATTATGAATTAATGTTAAGACTTATGTTGTACATATTGATTTTGTTATCTAGATTCAACTACTAACTGCTAGCTGGCCAACACGCTCCTTTAGTTTTCGCATCAGTTCCTGGCGTTGCAATAATTGGTAAGCAGGCAATGCCTTTTCTAAGACGGGCAACTCCTTAGGCATTGTTTTACTACGACTTAGATCAGGAACAGTGGGGAACATGATATTTCGTACATCCTGTAATGGATAACATAGGTTAAGTTAGATGAGTTTTTTGTATATAAAAAAAAGTATCAAAAATGTATTACATACTTTGAGAAGATTATCTTTCTTTTTCTGCAACTCCTGGATCTTTGGATCTGAGTTTTTGGGTTTAATGACAACAGGTAAAGGTTCCAAATCGTCGAGCTTTTGCCTCAGGCTTTCAGCGAGTAATTTAATCTTCTCCTGGTGCTCCACGTTCAAAGCCTCTCTGAGAGCAGCTATTTCTTGTACGAGCAACTTGTTGTCCATGGATGGTGTTGCTGGTGATCCGTTACTAGATGAACTACTTATATTGCCATCTGCTCCAGTTCCAGAGGAAGGTGTCTTCTTGCCAAATGATTTCAACTTTTCTTTGAGCTGTCCTCTTTCAGATTCCAAACTGTCTATGTCTGTCTGAAGATGATCCATCGTCTCTTCGAATTCCTTTTCCTATCAATAAAACAAAATTATTATGTTATCAGCATAGGAATACATGAAAGCAGACAGCACACCTTGCGCTTCAATTGATTGATTGCCTCCTCCAATTTTCTCTTCAATTTCTCAGCGTCTAATTCGTGCTCGTGCTGCTGAGTTGCTAAACGTTTTTCAGCCAATTCTTTTCTCAACGTCATTTCCGATAGTTCCTCTTGCTTCTCTCGCAATATCAATCTTGCCTCTCTTATATCACTATCTCGTGCCTCTAACTTTCTGCTTAATATCTTTGTCTCTTCCGATTCCTTCCTGGCTATTTGAGCCCGAATCAAAATTGGAGTAGTGATTTCACTGCCGTCTACACTTTGTTGCTGTTGCGGTGTTGTCTGACCAGCAATAGCTAGTTCATTCTCACACTCTGCCATTTTCTGTGCCAAGTTAGCTGCCATTTGTTGAATCTCTGTCAAGCTAGCTTTTATTGTTGTCACTGGGCCTAAGTCTTCTGTGTCATAGATCTTCTCACTTGACACAGCCGCCATTTCTTTCAGTTTATCAGCGGTTAATCCCGTATCAAGATCTGCGGAAATGGTCATGCTACTTGATGCAGTATTACGCATGAAATGAAAAATGCAGATGCTATTAGAACTTACCTCCATTTGCAACTATAGCTTGCAATGCACTCTTCTGAAGATCCTGTAACACCTTCATCACCTTGACAGCTTGCTGACAACAGTTGGATAATTGTTCTGGCCAATCTTTGTCTAAGCCAAGATTTACAGTTGGACAGACAGCCGTTATCTGATCTCGTGGTACCCTTCTTCTAGCTGATTTCAAATGCTGTTGGATCACTTCACAAGCAGTTTCCGCGTGTTGGCAAAGAAGTCCTGAATCAATTAAGAAAGTGAATTACGACTTCAAGATCATGCCAAATATTCAGTGCAGACTCTTGTTTGATACAAACCTATATCACCACCTTCACCGTGAATCAGCGCTTTGATGGCAGATGCGTCAGTGGCAATAGCGTCGCAAGCACTACCAAGAATTCTTGTGCCATCCACTATCATTCGAGCTTGATTAGCAAAGTTACTCTCGCCAAGCAGCACAGAGTACATTGTAGAGAAGTATGTACAACACTTCTCAATTGCGTCCATTGGCAGATTCTCATCGAGCTGATCGCGTTTAGCTAATTCTATCAGCGAATCAAGCGCCTTCTCTTGCGCCGCCATTTCCGGATAAGCTGCTCCCACCTTAAGTAGTATTTCCGGATTACAAATATTCAAAGCTGATTCGAAGCAACCAAGAGCAGTTTGTAGAGCATAAATGTGAGAGCATAGCCGAGATCTGAAGCTATACTGTGCGACAGAGTGTCCTTTAACCACTGTTGCCCTGTTGATGAAATTATTTGATATATCAAGGTCTTCTCGAAAGACATTATGAAATTCATTTCCATGCGCAATCGATTACCTGTCGATCTTATCAATAGGCCTGTACTTGTCGCGGACCTGAGAAATTAAAATCTCTGATTTCTGCATTATCCTTGGAATAAGAAGCAATGTGAGGATCGCGTCGTGATCACCGCCACGAGTCAGGAACGCTGGTGGCATGAAAGACAATAAGTATCGAACATGAGTACGAGCTTCCTCGACTTCGAGTCGACGTAATTCAAGATCCACGGCCTTTGTTTGCGCCCGGGTCTCGGCGAATGTCTTCTGGAAGTCTAAAATTTCGGCAAGCTGTTGTTCAGCTCCTAGATGTAAAGAATAAGATTACTAGATATTGCAAGGAATCAGAAGTGCAGTATATTTAAGAAAAATTCTCACCTCTTGATCCGGACTTTGTGGATTCTGTAGATTGGAGTCTCTGTTGCAATTGTAAGCATTGCTCTTGCAACTGATGAGTTAGATCACGGAATTTTATTATAGTGAGCTCACGATCGGCAAGTGTTTCCAAAGCAGCGTCCCGATGTCGTTGAGCATCGCGAGCTGCTCCTAAAGCGAGATCCAATTCTTCGCGCAATTCCAGTTCTAATTCCTTGGATGACTCGACCAATTGATCCGACATGTCCTTTCAAGAGAATTTTCAGTATTACTTTGCTGAATACTTTACTTGGAACGTGTTATGTAATCTATACTGCATAGAATTTCGACTCTGGGTCAGTATTGATCTCCTTTGATACTCTTGGCAGAACGCCAAGGACCTGTTACTCTTGAAATCCTAAACATATGATGAAGAAATTACTCCTTCCATACTTTTATTTTATACCTGTAACGCTTCCAAGTCATTTACAGCTTCTTCCAATTCGGCAACTTTTTCTTCTAATGCCATTTTGCGTTCACCCAACGTCTCGACCATTTCCTCAGCACCCAGTGCTGCATCAACCTAATTTACGTTACATTAAAAAAGAGTAATTTTAAATTGATAAAATATTGTGGATATTCATGGGGAACTTATAAACACCTGTTCTTGCAGATCAGCTATTTGATGCTCCATTTCCTCAACCCGAGCAGAAAGTTTTTCTTTCGTACGACCGAGCTCCAGAATTTCAGATTTTTTCTGATCCAAATCTTTCTGGAGCTTTTGAAATTCGTGCTTCTCGTGAGCTGAGAGGTCTCTCATTCTCACGAGAGTTTCACGCAATCTATTGTTTTGCAATTCCAACTGCTTCACCTCATAAGTCGATGGCTGAGTATCGGTGCCACCACCACCTCCAGCCTTCATTAAAATCAAAGTAAGCTTGATTTTAATTAACAATCAAATGCTTCCTTGTACGTTGTACAAAATATTTTATCAGCGACAATTGAAAGGTGTAATAATGATCGTAAGAAATTTACCCTCTCCGACATTTCTGCACGTAAGATTTCTAAATCTAGTGTTAATTCCTCTACTTTTTCCTTCGCTTGGTCCAATTCGATTTGCATGGTCTCTGCTTTTTCCTCAGCCATTTCCTTATCAAGTGTCGCCATTTCTACAGTCTCGGTAAGGTCAGCCATTTCTTCCTGATACTGGTTACGTGCCTCATGAGCTTCACGAGCCTCTTGACGTGCTCTTTGAAGATCTCTTTGCAGACTAGCCTTCAGATGATAATATTACGATTGTGTGAATGCATTATCACACATATCAAATGCCATACAATACTTTTCACAATTAAAAACAAATAATCGTTACGTACTTGACTCTCCATAACCTTCGCTTTAAACTCCAGCAATTGTTCCAATTGAAGTTTTGTCTTCTCAAATTCTTTCATTCTCTCCTTATCCTGCATACGCTTCACCTTCAAAGTATCCAGCTTCTCATTGAGATCACGTACCTGAGTAATATAGGTATTAATATCTGGAGGATAATTTTTAAAAAGTTGCGCAATCTGCATAATAAATAAAATAAAGCTAATACCTGAGCTTTCAAGTTATCATTTTCCTGTTGCAGTTGCAGATGCGACAATTTTTCTTCAACGGAACTTGCAGCTGCACCGGAGCCTGCTATCGACTGGCCAGGTACAAATTGTGGCTTGAGGGTTTCCACGAAACCCGTCTAAATTGCAAAATGTAGATAGTGAATAGCACATTTTTTGTGTACAGGGTGTTTTTTTTTTAATTATCGCACTCTTTAAAACAACACATCTGTATAGAGACGATCCGTTAAATCCTGATTGCTAGGGTCTGCTAGATGCTTTGGGATGACTGCAAATTTAAAATGATTTTTTTGTGTGTAAATGATGTAAAAAAGCAGTGGCGTTATTCGCGAGTTACGGTAATGAAAAAAAAACACCCCATAATGTTAAAATGAAAGCAGCATCTCGTTGGGTAATTGTATCTATATACATATATATACAAGTACAGAACAATATAGATATATACATATATGTTTGGGTGGGAGATTATCATGACACTTAATCAAAACCGACAAATAAATTTCGACACAATTGAATATCAATTCTATCAAAAAGCAGTATGTATACATTGTAATGAATCAACCATGGAGTGTTATAAACTTTAATGAAAAATGATCTAAACTTACAATGATCATTTGCAATATTCGTTTCCAAGAAACTTTGCACAATATCGTAAAAATAATTCCCATAGCTACGACGTATTCTGAGATTTATTATACTTTAAATAATTGCATTGTATCTGACGGTTTTGCTTTGATTGACCTGAACGATCACTCCCATAAACAAATCGTAAGTCTATATTTACATGTCATATAGATACACATGTATATGTATAGTAAGTGTCATAGTATAGTGTGCATCCAGCAGAATAAATTTCTGTTAGAGTCGTTATCAAGGTTAGTCGTAACAGTAGACATCAAAACGCTACGTCTAACGTTCTATTAGTTCTAACGAACAGTATGGAAACCCAATGGATGAGACGCATTGAACGATATGATACATATGTATATACAAGGAATTCCAGAATTTATATTTTAGGAATATCACTCATTGCGCTCTAGAGACTAAGGAGCAGTGTACGTACTTTTGTGAAAATGGGGTGTCTGAAGTAAACGAAAAATTCACAAGAGTTCATTAATCAATCACAAACGTAGGTACACTCGAAGTACTAGGGTTTCCAACGCATTTTCAGTCGAACTTTCTCATCAGTCAAACGAATATATTATAAAGGGGAATTCAGTATTATAATTTTAAAAAACGTACATATCAAATGTTTCCTTTTTTACTTTGTCTTAAATAAAAATATAAAAATCCACCTGATCCAAGTATCTGAATGCCCCTTCCCTAGTCTGTAATAATGATCCAAGCATCACATAAATTATTAGAAGAAGCGAATGGCTGATGACGATGGGATTCGTAGGATAATGAAGAACGTCAAAGAAAAGAAAAACCATTTCCATGATCCATTAATGAAGTGATAGTAATGTATAAAAGGAGTAATGTTACAGGCTGTTCTGAAGTTTATGCGTTATGGAGAATCGTGGTGATCGATATAAACAGCTAGCACAAGAAAGGTACGAGACCAGATAGGTGATGTATATACTATATTAAAGAAAAAACTGAAAGATTACAATTAATGAGTATTAATTACATTATTCTGATCATCTTGGGCCTTTGGCTTTTTGCCGGGAGGCGAGCTCGTGCTAGGGAACTTCTGAAACACGTACGTGCATATTCCCATGTGAATCCTATATAAATCACTCTTCGTGTGCTGACGAACAATCTAAACCTTTCTTTATCTCTCTCTTTTCTTTCTTTGGGAAGTTAAAAATATATAATAAGTGAGATATAGCACACATACTGTGTGCAGCTCAACGAACGTTTTGCAACGAGACAACTCATTGTGTTTTTTTAAAAGAAAAAGTAATACACGCACACACCACATGGCCCACGCCACAGCCATCACCATACGAGCGAAAAATAGATAAAATAACTTTTAATGACACAGTGACAGGATTTACAGACGAGCCAGTCTTTTAACTTATATAAATTCATTCTACGCAACAATATTCTTTTGGTAGCTCCAACCAGCAAAATGTGCCACAGTGCAAAATAACAAATTATACAGTAAAACAGATCATACTAGAAATGGTACACCTGGTATCGACTCATATGTATTTTGAGACCACGGTATATTTTCTAGATTGTACAAACGTAAAAAGGATAAAAGAAAGAAAAAAAAGACATCTGCGATTACCAAAAAATGTTTAAGCTCCTTGGCTATGTAAAACATTACCTCAATGAAGGATGCTCTTTTAGTGGACGTTGGTGCGGGTATGTGAGACTCTCCGACATCCTTGCGCTCATGCTGTGATCCAGGTAGACTTTCTGTACTGGGAGCGCTCAAATGAGTCCTACTACCAGCCAGGGATAGTCTTGAGCTGTTGTTGATGAAGATGAGTGTTACTGAGATTGTTTAAATGTGGTTTAGAGGGACACGCGACGTTTACAGATTTACGCAATACAGTCCAACACAGCAGCAGTCCTAAAGTTCATAAATATAGTTCAAGATACGTGCATGGTGCAATTGTATCAATTTATAACTGATAATCTACCATACCCTGAAAAGAGCGCATTATATTTTTGCAGTATCAGTTGTACAATGAAGCTGTTTTAATATAAGAGCAACTGAAAAACATGTCCAATGATTACGTTACATGTGAATAGCTCAGAGCACAGTTCATGAAACCACATATGAAGCACATAGAGCAGCGGATGGCCTACACATCCAATTATATTATTTTATCAATAGTCATTCTTACCCCGAAAGCTTGTCGGGTTGTTGGCGTATAGTTTGTGCAGGAGATGTTTTTCTCCTAACACTTTTAAAAGCAGCATATAGATTTGAAAATTTTATTAATTTAAAATTTTTTGTTTTAAAATTTTTCAATATAAACGAATTAAAATAGAAATATATGATGTTTAATAGTTGATATTTTTAATGTTTATCTAGCTGTTTCAAATATGTTGCAAATTACTTTGAAATAATGCTCAAAGCTCAAAGTAGATAGAAACTTACGCGGTTGGTTCATTCCTTCGTCGCATACTAATGCTGGCATGAAAATATTATGACATTTATGTTTAACGTGGATAATAGATATTATCGAATAACAAAATCTGTTAAATAATTAGGAAACACATAGTAATAGTTTAGTGGAATGTCACCTTACCCACATTTTATTTAAACAAAATTTTTACCTATTCAACCTGCTTCTAGCCCTAGCTGCACCACTGTCATCCGGTGTCGTTGCACTGCTACCTGCTGAAGAGGGACTAACTGGTTCCGTTCGATTTCCAGATTCATCGAGTAAAATAATTTGAGTTTGCCTGACAAACATTCCACAGTTTTCTTGACACTAAAATAACAGAAAAGAAAAAAATACTTGTAAAGAATATTTATTCTAAATCGATTACACGTCCAGACCTACCTTAAAGTAAGATTGACCTTTGATGGTACCATTATTCTTCCCTTTGGGCTCATCCAGTATAACGCCAATCCATTTACCAGTAGCAAAGGCTGGATGACCAATATATGCAATAACGCCCTGACAATCTTTGCCAGAAATTTCCACCCGTTGCCCAACTTTATAAGACATTTTTTTACTATTTACTATACTAAAAAAGGTTAAAACCCGAAGATTCCTTGGACTCGTGAAACCACGCGAGCAATATTTATAGATATAATTTACGATTATTAAATGACAGACATAAATTACAATAGACAATAAAAATAACTACGATAATTTTTAAATATAAATAATCAATAAATTAACACGGAATCTGTTTATTTTCGAAGAGATACGTTTGACAGCTCATCGACCATTGTTAACTTTTCATGTCACGTGATTTCTTGTTCCCAACTATCGCTATCTATCGGATTACTAAAATACTAATTTTAAATTACTAAACCGGTCTTCAACGCGGTTCAATGCATAAACTCCGGTTTTCTACAAAAAGCAAGTATCTGATTAGTTGATACCACGATTAAACCGAATTTAAATAAGAACGATGTTGATGGAATCAGGAATCAATGGCGATATGACATATGTTCGTTTCCTCCGTCGTTAATCAAAGTTTAAATTCTGGTTACCCTATCTTAAAACTATATTTAAAAAATTAAACCAGGCTTAAGCCACGTCGGAGGAAACGGGCAATAGATATACAATAAATCCAATAATGTATCTGGAGAGTGCATTACACTGGAATTCAGGTGTTTCAAAAATTCACATAACTGAATCAGATAAAAAGGGCAGCGAGGAGATATTACTACCTCGCGTCTGACAATTAGGGAGCACAGTGGGCACGGAAGATGCGCTGGACAAGCATGAAAATTCTGAAGAAGTTTGAAATGCTATGCAGTTCGTTTCAAACATACTATTCGCAATCGACTATCACTCACTTTAAGGAGTATATGCTAACATAAACTGATACATATTTCATCTCTTAACTTCACTCTCGTGGAAACATAGCCAATATCGCCCCAATGAAAAGGTTGATTCAACAAGATTAAAGGAGTATAAGCTTTTTTCGCACCTAACCCAGAATATCAAGAAGAAAGCTTTTGCACGAGATTCGAAATTGGACATTTAAAATCCTTTAAAACTGTAGTCAATTTTAAAATTTTTTAAATTTGAGCTTGAGTATTGCTAGTTCCTGCATTTGCCTTTACCATCAGAATATAAATGACTGTAGTGAGATTAAAAAATACAGAATATAAAAAGGTGGTTCTAGGAATTACCGTAGGCGGCGTCCGTTCACACGTCGGCATACTCGACAGAGATCAGTAGGGAGATGCACCACGCTCCAGTTTTAGGCGATACCAAAAGCATGGCGCTAAATCGTAGCGGCGAGTCCGGGAGTAGGATTTTGTGATCATCGCCTCCGTCGATAATACATATCCCGTCGTACCAGAGCTGAACGTGATCACGAACGTGAAGTTTGGCGGGCAGAGGTTCTCCGCTACTTACCGTTGGTTCCCAGAACAATCCTTCGAACGATAGATATTGCCTAAATATTTTTTCTTTGCAATTTTAAGTACGAGCGCACAGTGTAAGCTCAATAAGATTTGCTACGACAAAAGTCAGCATCTCATGCCTGCCTACACTGAAGCGTACGATGCAATCAATATCTGTAACAGGTATTTTGCTGATATTATGTAGCAGAACTACACTTTTTCGGCTATCTTCATGGTCGAATATTAATTATTTAATTAAAAAAGAACGATGGACCACCAAATATTTTAATTAAGCCACCAATGACCACCAAACGACCATCAATCGAATAGGTATATTTAAAAGTTAAAAAGTTAAAGTTTTCCGGCTAATTTTAAGTAGGTGATTCTAGTATGTTAATCAGAACATAATAGATAAACACTATGTTAATCATAGCATCTAATCGTTATTTCTTCTTTTTTATAAATAGCAGGAATATTAAGACTCTGCTACCCCTGTTATATGTTTTTTCTTACAAAGTTTTTTGTTTTGTTTATTTCTATAATTCTTATAACGTACTATGCCGCAAGCGTTCCTTAGTTGTATAATATATTATTAAACTTATATTTAATCTAGGAATCAAATACTGTTCGTTCAAATTTATTCGATTACCATGGATTTAACTTTTACTTGCGTTCTGACACTGCAACAATAGTTTTCAAATATTCGTTTCGCGTCAGACGACGCGTTTGCCATCTTGTGGGCTTGCGTATGGTTACGTATTACGTATTTAGGTTATTTAACATGTAAACAATAATTTGAATTTTCTCTATAACTGTCAGAATCTCAAGAAGTGATGCTTCGAAATATGAACTTTGTTGGGACGGTGTATCAAGTTATTTCAGTCGTGTTTTTCGTTTTTGTAAATTTTACGCCATTCTCGCGTAACGGGAAGTTCTGTAAAGTATAATGCGTCGAAACTATTTGCCTCGGGAATAAACACTCATTACCTACTCGAAAATATCCAAGGCGTAATTAGAAAAACCAAGCTCGTTTGGGGATGTGTGAAGTTTTGCAAGTGTGCACCATCCGCGTATTACATATTTTTTTGATATTGGGCAATACGTTATTTAAACGAAAATGTAAAAGTTTGTGTACGTATTCAATTTGTGACGATGGATTACGACTCAGAATCGAGTTGTGAAGGTCGATTAAGAGATCTGGAAGCGTCAGAGGAACTTCCCAGGACTCGACTATCTAATCAAAGTGATCTATTACCTCACAAGATCAATTCTGTACCTTGGCAATCGTTAGCAGTTGCCAATGCACAATCCAAAGTAGCTCTAAGCATTGCCAATAAATCTCTATCTTCTCAGGTAATGGAGTACTATCAAAAGTATTCTCAGAATTCAAATTTGGATCAGTACTTTTCATTGCCTGCATCAAGCACATCCACAGAGTATTATTACAGTATATACGAGTTGAATCCTAAGGCGGGTACAAGTAAACAAGATTGTACCGGTCAAGATTATAATTCGGGAACTTACGTTCCCAAAGAAAGACGACGGTGGGTACGGCCTCCATTGATTGGCCAGTCTTCTGCTGGTGAGGGTTCTTCTATGTATATGCAAGCATTAACAGATCCACGATCACTATCACCGAATCAAAAGCATACTATGCCTGAAACCATTCCAGAGGAAAAGAATAAAAGTCAAGAATCTATACCAGATGTAGGTGAGAGAAAAACAGCTTCTCCGACATCCAGTGTAGCTTCACACAAACCACTTGAGTGGGATAGCGGAGCAGACGTTGGTTATTTCAATGCTCTCCCTGGTAACAAACAGATTAATAAGAAATTCAGTACAATAGAAAGAATGGCTTTAGCCAGAGGATGTTCTGCCGCTTTGCGTTTAGATCCAGAAGGTACAACGGAGTCTGGTGCATCCACAAAAGCTTCAACAACTCAAGGCATCCAGAAATCATTGAAAGAGCCTAATGCAAATTCCACACCATTAGTAGGAAATATTTCTGGTTCAGAAAATGAGGTGGAAATTACACCTATAATGAAAAATCACTTGCCTGGAATTATAACTGGTATCGATATAGCATCAGAAGAAAGAAATAGTTCAAAAGACTCTAAACATCAGAGATCCAGTAATCCAGCTTCCAAAAATAATGATCAAAATTTCGAAACGCCTAAATCGTCATTAGAATTTAAAGTTCCAATAATGAAATATGCCACAGAAGGAAAGAGATGTAAAACCAAACAAAATCCTTCCAATGAGAATTTAGTTACTTGTAGTTCACCTTTAAAGAAAAGTTCCTCCATGAATCTCTTGGCACCGACTTCAACGAAATTATCATTAAAAAGAAGTCAGAGTGAATTAAACCTTTGCGTCAAAGATAAAAGTAAAATGCTGCTGCCATTAATATTCAATTCCACGTCTTCCATCGCTACTGTTGTACAGAAACCAGTAACTTGCGACAAATTAATTCAAACAAGTATAACGTCATGTACTCGAGAATCTGTTGGGGTACAAGTTTCAGTTTTAGAGGAGGAAAAACCGCCATTACCAAAGAGGGGTACCAGTTTGACACAGAAGTCGCTTCAATCAATTCTCAAGAATTCAAAAAACACTTACAAACTCCCAAATCCAGAAAACTTCAATGAGGAACAGTCAACTCGCAGAAGGAGCAACAGTGATGATCAAAGTGAGGGTAACGTAACGCGAAACAGTACTTCCGAAATATCTCATAGTGAATCCCTGCCGTTACCACCTCAACCTGACGATATGGAAAATGTAACTGGTAGAGCAAATAGTTTTGAATATTTCCCAGGGCACATCTACGAGAACGTCCCCAATGGCAGCGCAAGTCATGTCTCATCCATAGACACAGGTAGATCTAATTCCACAATGCCTAATACGAGTTCCAGTATCGATGAGAAACTATGGGGAGACTCTGACAGCTTGGTACGTGACCTGGAGAGAAGCGTCAACATCTTGAAAAGTCTGGTGGACGCTAACAAGTGTGACAAGCAAGTCAAGAAGAGATTGATCCACCATGTTATCAAAAGATTGGTGACTGCTAAATATACAGATGATAAGATAGAGCATAACCTGGAAGAGAACGTACCCTGGAATCCTGACGATGCTAGGAAGAAAGTTTACAGAGCTGAGATTATCCAAGCTTTGACGAAGAAGCAAAACACTACGGATTCTTCTGATGAATGGAAACCGCAGAAGAAGAAGATTCCATATTCTAAAAATTCATTAGAGAATGATATAAGGGTGGTTAAGGAAATCATTAATCTGGAAAGTAGTAATAGTGACAAATTTGATGGCCACACTGACCGAACGGAAACTGATGGTCGCAAAGCAAGAATGGAACTCAGAACCGATGATTGTCAGCATAGTAGTAACACGCCAACTGACCCTAACAAGAGTGAAAGCTCTGAATGTTTTTTACCCCAGCGTACAGATAAAAATAATAAAGTTAAGAATATTTTCTGTCTTAAAAAGAAATGCGACCTGCCACCGGAAGATACAACTACGTCGAATAGTACACCCTCTGATCAAAATAGAATGCTATTGGAGGCACTCGTTAATAATAGACAAAGTCGTATTGATTCAAGTAATGGTACTGGGAATAGTGTTGATTGGCGATTCCCAACAACATTATCAGAAAGACGGTTTCAGCTAGGAAGATGTAATCATTCTGATTCTGGTGATACGAGACTTGTGAATTATGCTGAAATGGAGAAGAGAAAGCAGTTAGTATGGATTACGAACGAAATAAGTCATCTATCTAATTTAAAAAAGTATGTTGACTTAGTACAGTACATAGTTTAACATTAATGTATAATATCCTTTTTCCTAAGCATAATATATATGTAAAAATATTCATGTGCTATTTTATTTAGATTGCTGGAACAATCAAAAAAGTCAGAGAGACCAAAAAGTTCGCCTAGAAAAACAAAGCACGTTGTTTCAAACCAACAACCTGTGACTTTGCTAACTTGTATTCGTGGAAAAAAAGATCATTCCAGTTTACAGAAGTAAGTCAATTTAGATGAAATGTTACACGTACTTCATCTTTTTAATTAATTATGGGATTTTTTTTGGTTTTAAGGGATTCACCGGACTTATGCGAGAGCTCGATTATTGAGCAGTGGTCATCCCACTGTAATCTGGCCAACTGTAATGCTTCTACTGGGCCCAGCACTAAACCTATAAAGCATTTACGGAAACGTAATAGTTGCACTCAAACGGCGACAAATATAGCAGTCGCTCATTCAAAGATTGGCGCAGAAATTGTCTCTGCGCTAAAACTTCAGAATTCTGCAGTAAAATCGACAAACATTTATGTACAAACGCATCCCCAACAAACTGCTCCTCCCCCTGCAATCAATCACCTACAGATAACTCCATGCATACCATATCCTGTTCATCAAGCGTGCGTACATTCCTCAACCTGCAGATGCATCGGTAACGTGTGTCATTGCCGAAGACACATTGTCCAAAATACACAAAACGCTTGCGCGTACCATTCACAACTACAGAATCATCAGATCTTCCTGAATGGCTGTCATAGAACATCAGCACCATACTTTAACGAAGACAGACCATTCATCACACAACCTGTCACACCTGATTCACCAAGTAAAGTTTGCGGACAACCATCTAATATCTGCCATCATACAGATCCTGATAACAGTAACTTCCGGCAAAAGGAAGCTAAAAACAAACTGAATGCTACAAAAATAAAGTGCACCTGTGAATGTCAGGATCCTCATTTTTGCCAATGCAGAGAGGAATTTCAGCAGAAGGATTTAGAAGGAAATGAAGTTTTGCGTAGAAAAGCCTCGGAGACCACATGTCAGTTATGTTCAAAGAGGATAGACGAAAGCGATAATAATACAGACGCGCAAAGTAGCCATGAATCGAACGATAGAGGATTATGTGAATGTCCCAATGATTGCACATGTGAGCATCCAAGAATGGAAGAGATCAAAGAATGCACTTGCTTAACTGTGTGTAATAATGAGAAAGTTGAGCAAGTACAGAACAAAGATCGACAGAATCATTGCGAAGCGAATGATGACGTTCACGATCAAGACAATCAAAAGCAAAGTACTAAACTGTGTAGATGCTCAACCGATTGCACCTGTGAGAACAAACGGATTAAACAAGTACAAAGTATACAAAAATTATGCGCTTGTCGTAAAGACTGTAAATGCGATAATGAGAGAATAAGTCAGTACGACTGTCTGTACCATGTGAAATCATTAGAAGGTCGCAAGGAACAGGTGCGACCTTATTATTTGGTTAATTCTCATGAGAATCAAAAAGCTCGTCAATCAAAAGTACAAAGTAACCCAAAATGTAACTGCGATAAGGATTGTTCTTGCGCGAACAAGATTAAAGATATACAAGATAAATTGTATAACGGGAGGTACACAGGAAAGTCAAGTCATACCAGTGAAACGAGATCCAATGACTCTGACAAGAATTGCAAGTGCTGCCGTAAATGTGGAAGATCGTATCAAAACGATAGGAAATGCAGTTGCCACATAAATTATCCTAAACCAGTAGCGTATGAATTGTCATTTGGAAATGAGAATGAAGAGAGAAATAGTGATAATTTTTTATCGAAGAAGGGAAACATTGAGATTAAATCATTACGCAGAATGGGTTCAATTAATTCTCCACCATACACGGCAAGGTCCGGTGGATGTTCCTGTGAGGAAATAAAATCATATCAAGCATCTAAGAACGGTGATCAAAGGAATACGCTTCAGGTATTTCCATTTTATCCTAAATATTTAAAACGTATGAGATGGTATCGATTGTACGTGGTAGATGACTCATGGATATTGTATTATATTTTAGGATTATTTAGCAACTAATAAACCTACATTTGTCAGCAATGTGGAGACACGTCGACAATATATGTCGGAAATATCGCAATTGCGACAGTTGAGAAATGAAAAACGGGTTCAGTTACTTGCTATGGCCACTGGTTCTAATATTATAAAGACGTCAAGATCACCTAAACCTAGAGGTATTGTATTAGGATACTATAAGATTTTGGGACATCTATTTTATGGTATGTTGCGAGATATATATATATATCATATGGGAATATCTTGCAGTCTGCGTACAGAGAAAAATCAGCGAGAAGGAGATGAAGGACAGATTACGCAAGCGTTATCTAAAACTTAATGAGGTACGTACAAAAAGGCATCAGCTACAAATACAGGAAGAGGCACGGCGGAACAAACTAATGGCCAGAATATTTTGCAAGAAATTGCAACAAAAAGTTCTCAGGGGACAGGTGGATCTACCTAATAGTGTTAGCGTTATATCTAACATGTAACAATAATAAAGAATGTTTGATCATTCGTAGGATTCTGCTAGAGAACAGTATATATGTAATTACAAAATGCCATTAAGGAAATGCAACAGACATTGAATAGTTAATGAAAATCTAAATATGTTCAATTGATAATACTCATATAATTTGAATTAATGTGAGTAACCCGGCGTGCCTGCATTATTTAATGAAGATACTTCATAGACTTATGCTCGTTTTATTAGTATTATTTCTTAGTTTTGCCAATAAGTTTGAAAGTGAAATAATTTAGTCTCATCGCCAATGACAAGTATTGGGATTTATATATTTATATAGTTTACATACATTTATTAGATTGAGAATTATTAAGTTCTAATATATATTCGAATGTGCCCAGTGGCTTTGTTTGACACAGAGATTGCGTCATATAGTGTTTAGTGTATAAGAAGTATGTTTATGGCTCATCCGGAACGGAATGAAAATGAGAAGCGGACAGGTAACTGAATTTGGAGAAGATTGCGAGAATAAATGGATCAAGAACATTCTTAAAATAGGATGAATAATCTGCGTGAGGAACCATTATTTAAGGAGTTCGTGTTTACTTCCTATGTGAGAACGAAGCGATTGTACATTACTTTTTATCTATTTTCAATCTGTAGCTGCGATTCGTTTTTTCTTACATGGACCTTGAAGTTGTAAACATACGTTAAAAAACAACAATATTTCAGGCTGACTAAACCGCAAATCATCAAAACCGCGATGCTTTAAGGTGACATAAATGTAGTTTAGTACCTGAAACGCAGTACATGTTGTCTCTTGAATTTATCATTATTATACATAAAATTATTTTGAAGTATAATGTCAGGTTAATGCATAATTTTTGGTGTAATTTTTTTGTACCAATTGTAATCATAATAAAGAGTATATATGGCTTCGATGTTTCGCGAGAGAAGAAATCCACAAGAAATGAAGGCCCCTCCCACACCGGAAGGATAACCTTCCTCTAATGTTAGAGGTAAATGTAACGTTTTAGGTCTATTGGCAGATTTATCAGTGGCTTCTCGAGAAGGTCGCAACTTTTTATTACGGACTTGTAGGTCTAAAGGCTGGTTTCACTCTATTAGTCGTTTTTTTGCGATTCAACTAGCCTTCGATTTCTGACTTAAGAATTCCATGTGTTGCATAAGGAGAACTGCACATTTTCTGGCCCTTATAACGTATTCTATGCAAAAATGTATCCTTAAAGATACCCTGCTATCACCCATTAGGAATATAAGAGAATTATTTTACACGCGACCCATGCATTTTATTTAACACAATAGATATTTTTATCATAATTCTACCGATGTCTTGGAAGAATGCCATGTAACGAATTTCCTTCAGAGCACAAGATCCGATCGTGACCGGCATTGATTGCTGCGCGGCAAAATACGCTTCGTGCACGACTTTGTTATATATTAATAAAAAAGCTACCAAAGATCGGTTTTAGCCTTCGCGGCACTATGACAATGCCGAAACAAAAACCGCGTCGAGCACGTTTTACCTCGATCTGCGGTTTCCTATATAAAGATTTTCTACAAACCTCACATCAGTATCAATAGTCGCGAGGCTGACAACAGTTCGATTTCTTCATCTGGATGCAATTTAAGTGCACCGAGCGAATGCCTCTATTCTGCTTCGTGGAGAAGTCGGTCCTAGCGTTCCTCATCAACGACCATTACAAATAACAGTCCTTTCAAATAACTTTGAAGGATTGTTTAACATACTTGAACCTGAAACGTTTAAGTATAATTAATACGAGGATACCAAAAAATCCTGAATATTATCTGGATTACGTTTTTTGGATCGTCCATTGGACAGTTTTTTTGACATAAAAATTCCCTGAAGAAACATGGCGCCGCAATTTGGTACCGTTGAGGTGGATCTGGATCAGATCCTGAGGGAGAATTTTACCAATGCTTTTCGTACTGGTTACATCACTGTCGATGGGGTCTGCTTACCGGAGTATTATAAAAAATTTGCTGACGCTATTGAGGATATGGAAGTGCGGGATGATGACGTGTGGGTCTGCAGTTTTCCAAAAACTGGTAAGGATGGTCATTTTTTATTTTTGAGTCTTTTTTAAAGTTAACCCTTGTTTAACTTTAGAACTTTAAGTAAAATATAAACTTGTAAATGCTTATTATTATGTTTTATAGGTACAACTTGGACTCAGGAAATGATCTGGTGTATCGCGAATGATCTGGACTTCGACCAAAGCAAAGTATTATTGTCTGAGAGATTTCCATTTTTGGAGTTAGTTTTATTTTGAACTTTATTAAGTAAGAATTTTTCGGTTAATGCGTTTCTGATAAATGCTTATTTTGTTTTTACAGTCATTCACCCCTGTTTGATTATTCAACCATAATACCTCGTACTCCTGGCTTAGATTTGCCCGAATTGGTTCTTGATAGTGTGAGCTTTGTGGAAAAATTACCAAGTCCTCGTTTCATTAAGACCCATTTGCCTTTTAATTTGTTACCGCGACAATTGAGAACTGGTGAGAAAAAGCCAAGAGTCATCTACGTTGCCAGAAACGCAAAGGATACCTGCGTGTCTTATTATCACCATTGTAAACTTCTCGAGGGTTATCGCGGAAGTTTCGACGATTTCTGTTCCCTCTTTTTGGGAAATAAATGTATGTACAATTTTTTTCTTACAACGAATGAGTATCTTGTGTTTTTAATGAGTCAAAAATATATGTAAATTTCAGTATGCTATGCGCCATTTTGGAAGCACGTTCTTGGATTCTGGAACAGAAGGAATGATGAAAACTTTCTGTTTCTGAGATATGAAGATATGAAAGCTGTAAGTTTTCAAAAATAATAATCACGTTCATGTACGGACGAATGGAAATTTTAAAAGATCAAGTAAATTTATATTTTATATCATTACAGGATCTACCTTCGGTAATGAAGAAAGCTTCTGCGTTTCTTGGTAAAGATTTAAACGAAGAACAAATAAAAACTCTTAAGGAGCATCTTAGCTTTGCTAATATGAAAGCAAATCCGGCAGTCAATTATGAGGAAGTGATTGAAATTAATAAGAAATTCAAGTTGATCGAAACCGATGGAGAATTCATGAGAAGCGGCAAGGTCGATCAATGGAAGGGCAAGATGTCTCCGGAAGTGATTAATCAATTCGACAATTGGACCAATGAAAATCTCAAAGGAACCGGACTTAGCTTTTAAGAGTATCGAAGAGATATAATGTCGATAAAAGTAATTGAATCTGATACCTTATTATGGAACATGTAAATAGTATACATACATATGTACAATATTTTTCTATGCATTTGTAATCTTAATAAAATTACATCCATCCATTAATTGGCAATAAGTTACTTTAAGAACCTTTCTCCGTTTTCTTGACGATATCTCATCAGTGCAAGTAAATCTGGCATTTTATTCTCAGCCAATTGGTACAGCGAATATTTTCATACAAAACAAACGTGATTGACGTCACTTCCTCTTTCAATTAATGTCAAAGCAGCGTTCTTCTTTTTACAAAAAATTGCAAGTTGCAGAGCTGTGCATCCCAATGAATCCTCAATGAGAACATCAGCTCCTCGGTTCAGCAGCTCAGATATAATTTTCAAATTGGATAATATCAAATATTTCATCAATCACCAGCTATCATTAAGGATGTGCGACTATCAAGATCTCGCGAATCTGTTGGTACACCAGCATCCAGTATAAAGATAACATTTTTTATTCCTTCCCCGACAATAGCAAAATAGAGAGAATCCAACTCCCTGCTATAGGAATATATTATTTTTTTTACTTCTCCATCACAATGGCGGCATTGCCTTTACATGTCTGTTCTTCGAGGATCTGCTCTTTTCTTTAAGAGTATTTACAAGATCTCCGTACTTCGTGTATTGTAAGAAGCTTGCATCAGGGCTGTTTTTCACAGGGCTGTATTGTGATATCATCCAAGTAGGTGGAAATTCTATCTAACGAATTCGTCAAAATTTGCGAGACACCACGTTCTGTAGCAACTGTAAGTGGAGTAGCAAGTTTTTGTGTTGGATAATGCAAATTTATTTGCGGACTGTAAAATCAGTTATTGATAAAACTAACGTGCTTATAAATAATATAATTGTAATCTTAGAAACTTGAAATACATACTTTTCTCAATAGTAAAGTCTCTAATCTTTTTAACCGTTCCCAATTTGAGTAATCTCACAAGCTGTTCCTCGGTTGAGGAATCTTCTGAATAATTTGATTTTTTTTAATTAATCGCTTTTACCATCACAAAATACACAATATCTGTACTCATGTCCGTGATTTTTATCCTATCAACACTTTTAGATAGCATAGAGAAAGCCGCAATCGAATATATACAACAATAAGAATTTGCATTTCAAGTTCAGTATTTACGAACGTTCATAAAATTGTGTACATTTCACTCTCTTGGTTACAAGACTAGTGACAAAGGTAACCGAACAAATAATCTCTACTGACTTTTTAGATGACGTTATTTTACGAGTGTTAACGTCGAATATAATTGTTACGTTAGTAAGAAGAAAAAAGAAACAACATACAGACCCTGAAATGCGTTCAACAAGGATCAACTAACGTTTACAATGGAATTCAAAGAATTCTTACGAAATACTTGACTAACCGATTTTTCAAGGTTCTTAACCCAGCATAAAGACATTCAAAGACTTGGCAGCGTTTTCCAATTCCTACAACGTCATTCGACTTCGTAGATACATTTTTCCGGCAGACAGTAATAAAAATCCATTTGTTGTATCAGTCATGATCTTGCTGAATGATTTCTACAATAGCTTGACGCAAAGTCACATACTTTCTCTTTGACGTGGCCGTCTCGTACGGCTCTTAGCCTTCTACGAGGTCCTTAAGCTGTACTACCCATTCGAAAAGTCAAGACGCTTGTGTTCTAAGAGAAAAACTCACCGCTATCGAAGACGTTGATATCTTCAACGGCAACCTGTTAATAGTGCGTTTTCATATTTCCATGTGTACAGTGATCCTCCGCTAATGAATGATGGATAAGTTAACTGTCAGAAGAAGCATTCTAGTGCTAACGGCAGCCATATCTTTTCTGCATTACGGTAAGACGTGCAGGTCACAAATATTATTTAGTATGACTCACAATCAGTCATTTACGAAAAGACGATTCCTGAATTAAATTCCAACGAATGAAAAAACCAGAAATTCAAATGCTCGAGGACAATTTTTAATTATTATAAAAGTATACCTTTCACGTAAAAGTAATCTGTGAGCTAAAAGAAATTTCATTGATTAGGCATTGAACTCCCTGTAGTATGGTTGAGTCGCCCAGGAGTGAGTCAAGAGACTTTATATTCAGACCATACTGGCATACTTTTTTCTCGTGCTGATATTTTTCGATTGCACCATTTTTCTTTTATCGTCGACCAACAAATGTTAAGGCTTTAATTAAATATTAAATATTTTGTATTTTCCTATTACATTACTTTCAAGCATATTATTGGAGAACAATAAGTACTTAAATATTCCTATTCAATATACGTACTATATGTTTATATACTATAGTTATACATGAGATGGATAGTCTGCTCTACTTAGATTAAGTGACTGGATTAAAAGTGAGCATTGAACGTAGAATTAAAATATCGGAAAGAATTAATACACATAGTCGTATCTAAAAATTATAATAAAATTTCTTTTGTCATTTACTGAAATGTCTTATTTTAGGTAGTACCCAAGAGGATGGTGAAGTGTACAAGGGAAAGTATTTGGGTAAATTCAATGCTTATCATCATCAAGTCTCTGGTGATGTTTATGCTGTCGATGAGTACACATTACTGTTAACGTCGTTCAGCTACGATGGAAATGGAGCAGACACCTTCTTTTGGGCAGGAGCCACGAATCGTCCTGGTCCACAAGGATTCATTGTACCCAACGAATGGGGAATGTTAGTGAATTTAAATAATATTAATATAGCTGGCATATTTAAGTTTGTCTAAGATATAAAAGGTAAGAGCTTATTGATTGACATTATACAATTTATAGAACAAACGTGCTTGATCGATATTTTAATAAGGACATAACGTTGACGTTACCCGATAATAAGAAGATCACGGAAATCAAATGGTTCGCCATTTATGATCTCACGAGTCAGGTAAGCATTTAAATGAACTTGACTCTCGAACCTTTAACTAATTATTGGTTTGGTTTGAAAATATTATTTTTCTTTCCACAGAATACATTCGGGGATGTATATATCCCAGAAGAATTTGATCCTCCAGCACCTCAGAAGATATCACAATTAACAAAGAGATCGCACAATGTATCGTCCGAGTCTATTGTTATTATAGATGCAAAAACAATAAGCATCCCACAGTTTATTTATGATGGTCAGGGTGCTGACACTTATTTCTGGGTAGGATCAGGTCCACAGCCTTCTAGTAAAGGAATAAAAGTTCCAGACGAACATGGATAGTGAGTATTTAATGATTGAATGACAATAAAAAATATCAGTGTTTTTAAATTGACTGTGAAATCTTATGTTTTCAAGTTTGGATCCATTACGAGCTTATAATAGTGAAGATGTGATTATTCAATTACCTGGTGAAATGACAGTTTTTAATATTGACTGGTTGAGCATCTTTGATGTGGAAACAAAAACAAATTTTGGTTCTGTTGTTATATCAAATGGTCTGAATGTACCACCCTCTCTTGTAAAGGTACAGTGTACGTTTTAATGTTATGCAGAATTTAAGTACATCATTACAAAATAATAATCGCAGGTCAAGAAACATGCAAAAGCATATCCTAATTGCATTCAGTTGCATAAAAGGTATCACGTGAGTTGGGAAATCTTTGGACCTGCAATTACTATTCAACTGGCTGGTCAAGTAGGTAAAGATTTTACGGGATTTATTGGTTTGGCTTTGTTGATTAATTTTTATCATACTTATATTATATGATTCATTTATATTTAGGGGAAGACGAGTACATGGCATTTGGATTGTCTGGTTCTCAAGAACGTAGTCAAATGGAAGGTGCTGATGTTACTATTGCCTATTTGATTGATACACGTGGCTATGCTACTGATTATAATATCACTGCTAAGGCACCGGTACGTATCATCAATGTTTCTAAATGTGTACTATCTTTAATCCATTCATATACTGTATACAGTGCGGAAAAGTTCTTGGCCAGTATAGAGGAGTATGTAAAGATGAGCTTGTCGGTGGTTTGGACAGTAACCAGCTTCATACAGCAGTTCGAGAAGATGGGATCAATGTTATAACTTATAGACGTACACTTATCTCTTGTAAGTATAAAAATGATGTGATTGAATAAGGATTCGATAAATCTCTGATTTCAAATGCAGCTGATCCTGGGGACAAGGAATATCCAACTGATAGACCAGTCTACATAGTCTGGGCACTGGGTAGATTAGATGAGAATAAAGAACCAAGTTTTCATGATGTCTATCCTAAAGGTGACCTGAAGTTAGTTTTAAATCGCACAGAACATGAGTATAATTGTATGGACTTTACAGAGAGTGATCAGGACTTAAGGTATGTAGAAGATATTATATTCTTGATGAAATTCCATTACTATTGAATTTTGTTATAGTTAACTTTATTTGTTCAGTGAACCTTGGGAAAAGGCTGAAATTTTTGATAAAAGTATTAGAACCTTTAAAGCATGGATTGGACCATCTGGTGGTAAAAAGGGTTATCAAGGAATGACAGGTATAATTTAATCATTTGATTGTATCTTTCATGTATCCCCATATTAATATATTCTGATTACACTTTTAATTGTTAGGTCAAACGTCAACTGGCCTGGCTTGGTACATCAATGGACAATTGATACCAGAATTGTATTTACGCCGGGGTTTAACGTACAATTTTAAGGTTCATGGTGGAAATAATCCACATAGTGCAACAACGTATCATCCAATAATTATAACAGATGAGCCACACGGTGGATACGATAGACTCAGTGATACTGCTCAAAGTAAAGTTAGAGTACTTGCTGGAGTAGAATTTACTAGGAGAGGTAGACCAAGGCCTACAGCTGGTACGTTAACAAAAAACGAATGAATATCACGTATACATAATAGAAAATTTTCAAAATCAACTGTCTCTTAAACAATCACTTGCTATCAACTACTCTTACAGTCGGTCCACTCTGCCTTGGCAAACACAATGGACGTGATAGAAGGTTGGATGATGATTTTCCAACTTTCAAGAAATTCAACAGAACCTTGGTAGTCAATTGCGAGTCAGGTACAATTTTACAATTTTAATTTTAATAACCGGTGTAATATGTGGTAATCTAACTGATGCTTTCTCTTGTACAGAGGAATCTGGTATTTTGGAGGTGACTCCGAATTCTACGTGGCCTGATACCGTTTATTATAATTCATTTACTCATGCGAATATGGGCTGGAAAATTCACGTGGTTGATGCGTACGCGAAAAATGGAGCGATTGCATTTCGCTTGAGTTGGTTAGTAGGAGTTTTAGCTGTATTTTTTCGTATCTTATAAAGTCAGATTTAAAGTCGTAAGATTGCTCAATTCTGTCGGCTATGTAACTTTTCGCTGAACTGGAAAAGGACCTCGTTAAACACTCAAATACTGTTAATGGTGTAATAATAAGTTACGGCTGAAACAAGTGAACTCTCAGGCAAGTTACTCTTTTTCGTGTTGATTAATAGATTCTCTTTATGGCGAGGGAGAATAAATCCAAAACATATTTTTGAATTTATTACGCTAAGCTACTTCTTTAGTGTGAAAAATACCAAAAGGAAATTAATTTTCAATTGTTATATGCATATAGGGTGTTATATGATCAATGAATAATCTGTATGTTGAGATTTTAGGCTTTCGCGGCCAATATTATCATTAATACTCATGGTTTCCGGATGAAAGCCGCGTCTGTATTCAGCTTCGTGCCAACGTTTCGCAAACGTTTCAGTCTGCATCATCAGAGCTAGGAGGCTCCGATACTAGGAGGCTCCAATACTAGCCCTGATGATGCAGACTGAAACGTTTGCGAAACGTCGGCACGATTGAACACAGACGCGGCTTCCATCCAGAAACCACGAGTATTAATTTGTACGTTATTCAAAATTATAATAACACCTTATGTCTTTCTTGAAAATCTGCGTAAAGTGTTATTTCGTGTACGCTTTGGGAATTCTTGTTACTTGAATTCGAGGATAGTCAAATTTCGTGTGATTTATGGTGGTATTGTTATATCATGATAGATTGTAATAATATTTTAATCTTTAATACATTATCTGTTGCGATATCAAAGATCATGAAGACTTTAACAATGTGCATACGAACATTAAAATATTGTTTAATTTATATATTCTCCGTTTTGTTTTAATGACAGACTGTATTTATTAGTTTGATCTTTAGATTACAATCTTTATGATTCTCTGAAACGTGTAACGGATATCATGTAGTAGGATGATGTGATAGGTACTCGAAAGAGAAAAATTTACGGCAGGTACGTGATGCAGTATACATTTTTATTACTAGATAACAATAAAACTATAAGTTAAAAATTGAATGTATACGTAAACACAGCGTGAATTGATTTCCTCTATCGAATATCTCATATTATACTAAATAATAAATGTACAGTTATCCCATTTTAAGTGATGCATCAAAATTTCTTGAAAATTCAGTAAAATATAAGAAAGTGTTTCAAACAAAAGTTTTACGCTTTCAAGAGGAAAATCGAATGAGACAACCGGTATATTTATGAGAAATTCCACTTCCGAGAAAATTCGATAATTGAAATTATTTTGTATGACATCTGATTTTTCTTTGGGTATGAAAGTTATAGCGGACATTTTGACACATCTGATAGTCGACACATTGCTTGATATGTGTTTCTCTGTAGGTTCGGGCAATTTTGAGAAAGGCTGCAACGAGAAATTTTGCTGTATCACTTGGGACATCTTGTATAATATGTACAATTCATTGAAACAACGTGATTTCCATCTAGATGTAATTAACAAAGTTATTGCATCTTTAAAAGTGCCACATAAGTAAATTTAAAAATACATCAACAATCAGCATACGCAGATAAAGTAGCATTTGAATTATTATACCTAAATCAAACGCCACCACGTGAGAAGATCAATGATGGCTGTAGAGCATTACAAATTATTATAAAAATCTGTTTCGATCTAAGCTCTAAAATACAAATTATCTACTGACATTCTACAAGCATAAACTACTATAAATTAAAGGAGGTGGTTATTCGTATTCTTCTATGATGAAAAAAACTAGCATCTACGATTACTATTAAAGTTTTTTAAAATTCATAAATTATGTGAAAGCAAAATAGCGCAGAAAACTTTGAAACGTATTCAAATCAAATTTAAACAATGCATTACTTGGACAATAACGAATATCCCGTTCGCAACGAGCAATCTCAGTAGGAAATTTTACATTCTACATCTTCGGGGGCAAGCACGATACTATTAAGTCATTAAGTATGAAATGTCCGATTTCGAACTGAACGTACTTGAGGTAAGCGGACATTTCATAATGACCTAATAGATTAAGAACACAGTAAAAATGCAGAAACTAGAAGAATTCAGACACAGCATTGTCTTTAAAATCTAAAGAGGTTATAAATATATCTACAGGAGACAAAGAGATTAATAATGTAGTAAAATGTGAATCTAATATTAGAATTTGAATTGTCAAGTGCCACTGCTACTTCAAGAAAGAACAAGGATGTTGCCAATTATCTACGGTATTTAATGAGACAAGGTTATTTGTCGTCAGTGCTCATCTGTCCTGTCACAATTGAAGAAACAGTAACGCAAATGATAAGCAGATTGAACATGCAAGCTAATGCGAATCTGACGTAATAGTTATTGATAATTTGTCCATAATAATACTATATACAATTGATACACTATACAATGAGTTTTTCCTTTATAAATGACAGGATACTTTTTGTAAAAAAATTTAAATACGCCTAACTGCGTGTAATAACACATATGTGGCAGCCTAATGTTAAATGTATCACGTTATGAATAATTCATAACTATCAATTTTCCATTTCTCACTCTTTCATACCAAAGCTTTTTTCTCCTTAATATTGCTATATGGCTGCTAATAATCCTATGGCGGTTTTCGTACGCAGACTAAGTATTTTAAATAGAGATTAATTAACTTGATTTCTCGTTTATATTGTATGCAGCCTTTTTATGCGAAGAAATGGTAAAAACGCACTAGCTTATTCACCTTCGCTCATATATATAAATACGAATATTATGATTTATGGTGCTCTATCCTCAAATGATAATATCAAACTCAAGCGATCAATTCGCTTGAGATGCGAATGTACGATAAAAACTAGATTTGAGGATTCTGCTGTTAATAAAATTAGTGACAAGTAACTCTCGTAGAAAAGATTTTTTCTTAAGCCAGTCTTTTATGTTTGGACGCGTAGCATATATATATATATATATACACATCTCATTAAAATTACTTTAATCACATAATCATTTATGATATCTTCAGTGAGCCGGATTAGATGTGATTATTCTCTCTCTAAAGTATTTTCGTCGCGTTGATTAATGCCGAACCGCAATGAGTCTACGATCGAATTGTCAAAGTGAGAGTTACAATATTTCAATGTTTTTCTTGCTTGCAAATCATCGTGTTCAGATATAGATATTTTATGTTTCGTTTGACTCACGACTTGCTGGGCAAAATCTAAAATAGCCACCTGGCCCTTATTCTCTATGAAATTCGAGGAAACGATGTAGAGTGGCAGGCAGCTCCGTGCAACGAATACCGTATTTGCAAATTGCTTGAGCTGCGTGACACTTGAGAGTGATATAATTTACAAGATTTACGTTATTTAAGGAATTTGAAGATATGAGACGAGCCGGTGTGTCACCAGATTTGTTTGGTGTGTCCAGATGAGCCCCGTAATCCAGCAGTAATTTAATTAGCTATTTGGAATAAAGTCACTTGAAAATATATTCATAATCGCGGTGTCCATATCGTTTTACTTAATCATTAAATAATTCATGTGTTCTTACCGAATTATGGAAATTATAAGCGTTACTGGCAACGTGTAGTGGAGTGGACCGTGACTCGTTTCTAGCATTTACATGTGCTCCGCATTCTAGAAGTAATCTGATAACTTCCAAGTGCGGAAAAATCATCTGAAAAATATAATTTTTGTAAGATGTAATTGATAGAAACGGAAATAAGTCAATCTTTTGCGAATTTCAACAATACGCTGAATATATATCATCGCTTTCGACTGATTAAATTATAGTCTGCATGTACTGTAAAAAATACAAATGGAGGAACGCAATACAAATAATTTGGGATGTGCCAAATTTATAAGTAGAGTAGCCAACTGTTGCGTTGCCAAGGAGGCTGTCAAAACATAAAATTTAAGTGCTATTCTCTTGGTCTAAGAATGTCAAGCATATTTCATGTACAGTTTATGTTCAACGGTAACGAAGAACTAGGTTATACAGCTGTTGGACAAAAGACACTATTGTAGTGTGCTTCGCATTGAACTTAAAAGTTTGACCTTGAACTCGACATTTACTTTTAATAGTTAAACAAAGACTGGACAAAGAAATCCTTGATGGCTGATGCTCTTAGATACAATAATAATGAATATATATTTATGTATAAACCATTTAATTAGAAAATGCACATGTAATGACAACAGCATGCTAAAATCCTTGTTTAACAAATTATATTAATTATAATAAGGAAGATTAGTACCTGGATGTCATCGGCAGTGAAGTAGCTTGAGGTAATAGTGTTTAAGCTAGATACACAGAGATGCAGAAGAGAATCTTCTGTAGATGCAGACTTAGGACATTGTCTAACTAGATCGTACACCAGTTGTCTCGTTTCTAATTTTTCCTCCTCAGAACGAGCAGTTTCCACTAATAAGTAAATAAGATGCGTAACGCACTTTAAAATACGGTCATAGCTATCTCGTTGTCTCTTGTGTACTGGACGTTTCTGTTAGACGAAAGAAAACATCATTTAAAGTATATTGTATGGAATAAAGGAAAGTACCTAAACCTATGTCAAATAAACTGAGTAAATAAAAGTACCTCTAGTAATTGTCTAGCATCCGTCAAATGGACAGTGAGTAACTTAAATATGGCTACTACATCACAAAATCTGGGTTCTTCCTTATCCCGTTCTATAAGCTCTACGGTTTTTTTATTTAAGTCTACCATCAATCGGACAAGAGCTTGAGCAGTGAAACAAGTATCGTTATACAGTATCTAAAAAGGAAAAAATTATAAAGTGATATTCATTGAATTAATTAAATAATGATATTATTTAATTCTTGAAGCTTACGGAATCTTTTTCGACACGTATTTCTAACGCTCTCCTCCATAGGTCTATACAACGTTGGTATCTGTGACACCAGAGACAAATATATAAATGTCTGTATGGTATTAATAATAAATAAAAATAATTATTATTAGATGCTGCTTACCTTAAAGCATCGGCGTATGACGCTCCTCTATACATTAATCTGAAGAGAGTGTCCTTATGATGCGACCCCAAGATCCTCTCGCAAATTAATAGACTCTGTATTCTTATAGCATCCAGATCTAATGAAATAGAATTTAATTCCTCGATGGTAGTGAACTCGGTTGCATTCCGAAAACTATCTCTTTTTGGTATAACTGGCCTTTTCGGCATAGGCTTGCCTTGCACCATATTATCATTTCTGATTGCCATTGCTGCTCTCCAGTACTTTAGTGCTGTTTGAGTATCGTTGTGTTCATCGAAAAATGTAGATCCCATCAATTCGTTTGCATCAGCTAGTCTTTCCATTGTATAAAATATGTTTTCCACTAGAATAAAATATAGATTTCATTTTTTATTCTCTGATATATACCTAATATTATACAGTGAGAATGTGCACCTAAGTATTCAAATATGTGAGTTGCACCCTTCAAGCAAGCAGTCTGGAGAGCATCATCGTTGCAGCGCGATTTTAGATGAGGGTCTGCATTATAATCTAGCAAGAGCTTCGTGGTTTCGAATCTGTGCTCTTGGATAGCATAATGTAAGGCAGTCTTGTTCTGTATATCTCTTGCATTTACATCAGCACCATGCCTTAATAGAAAAGTACACAGTTCCACACTTTGCACAGAATTTATCAAGCAGGTTCCACCATTATAATTTGCTTTGAGTATGTCTGCACCGTTCTCCACCAAATATGATACAATGTCTGGAAATTAAATGTTATTATTCTATTGTTTTTTTTTGTTAAATATAGTGCAATATCTTTTTATTTGTTAGCCTTGCACAAAAGAAATAAGTCATTTAAGCCTTGATATAAAAGAATAACTATTGCAACACAGTGATTGGAATTCAGAACATCAACCTAGACCTAGACTCTTGGCACAATTAGGTGTATGATTTGGCAAGAGTATACAACTTCTCAAAGTATGCCAAATATAGTCAAACTATGGTTAAGATAAATATGAATTTGAGTTACCTAAATGTGTCATGAAGCATGCAGATCTAACTGGTGTAGATCCTGTATCAGAGACAGCATTGACTTCAGCTCCATGGGACATTAAACATTTTATGACAGGCAATTTCCCAGAAACTGCAGCACACCATAGTGGTGTTACACAGTGTACTGATCTATCATCTGGTACTTCATACATTCCTCTTTGCTCAATATCAGCATGACACATTGTGATAAGATATTCCACAATCTCAACATTTCCTCTTTTACATGCGATGAACAATGGGGCACATCCATCTTTTATTCGAGTAACAATCTCTTTGCGGATATCTATCTTATACTTTTCCAATCTACTCCGTAATAAATATGAGAGTCGTGCTCCGGGTGCCACATACATACATTCTTGTATCAAATCATTAAACAGTTGGTCTATGGAATTCACTGCCTGCCGGCTGTTAATCCACATTTCGACTGCTTAATACAGTACTTGCTTTTCTTTCTTCAGCGTTTCTTGCCAGCCTGATGGATATAGTTCAGTTCCACTAAATAGAAATTAAAAGATACAATTTTCTTCTTAATAAGACACCAACTACAAAGAAATGCTTTATATGTATAATAAAATTTGCAAAACCTTAAATAACATGTATACGGATCAATTAACGTAGATATGAATCATACAGTTTCAAATATTCATACAACGTTCCAGTCAGGTGTAATTTTAATGAACAAAGGAAAAATTTGACACAACAAATGAGGGCAATGTGAAGAAGAAAGAATAATAGAGAGCATTTGCTTCCTTGTGTTAAAAAGTAGCTTATGGTACAGTTAATCATGCATTTTAAAATTGTAATAATTAATTTCAATACTTCAATATTATTAGCCAGTGACAACTGAAAATGCCATTATATTAAAACAATGGTTACAATACTTTAACGTTGTTATATTATTGTTAAGTACTATAATTGGAGAATAACCTTCAGTATCTTCTATTTTAAATATTAGCTGAACTTATGACATATTGACTTAATGCGCAATTAAAAAATTATTGTAAATTCCTTTGTATTCCTATTTCAGACACGACCAAGCACTCTGTCACTTCTTTATTAATGAACGAACAAACATCAAATGAAATAACGCGAATACAATAAATTTACAGACCGTCACAGCGTAAAAGTGACAGCCACTAGTCGATGGATCACGTGATTCAAATATGGATCCACGTGATACTTTGTTCATGCGCATTGCTGTTTCAAGTTGATTTTATTTAAATTGAATTGTTGTTTAATTTACTTGCCAAATTTTAATATAGATGATAAGTGCAATAAAGAATATGCAATTCCCTATATACACACTACAATACCTATCATAAAGATATGAATGCATCATGCTTTATAGAAATAAATACGTTTGTTGCGATTAATTAAAAGTTGACACAAATTCTGCCGCATCCAGTTGCATTGCGTATTATTTTTCTTGAAAGTGGAGACAATGAATACTGATGAATTTGTATATCGCTTGTGGATCAACTCTCGGTATCCGGAAACTTTCTCTGTAAGTGAAATCTTTCATTGCGAGAAAGTTAATAGGGTCAGAAATACATCTTGATTGAGTGTGATGCAGTTAGATTAACATTGAAATTCGCCTTTCATATAATTCGAAAAATTGATTAATATGTAAAAAGAATTGAACAATACAATTAGCTTTAGTAGATTTTATACATTTATAAAGATACATAACATATAACACTAGAATGATTTAAAGATCTATAAAATTGTACAAGCATATTTTGCCTCAGAAAGCTGTAGAAACCGATAAAGAGCCTGTTCAATTCAATTTGATCGAATATGACTTTATTGGTGATTACACCATAAATAATAATTATTTATTTAGAATTTATGAGAATCTCATTAATTTTAAGTAGTATCTGTAAGATTTGATAAGACATTTCCGATGCTCTAATATGATTCCCTCTAATTAATCATTTTCAATCGCTTTTAATTTAATTTTTTTAAACAGTATATTGAATTAGAAGAATAGTGGCGAAAAGACGTGCAACTAATTTTATCTACCTTTTCCTCCTTTTTTATATAATTGATTAAACGTATTTTTGGAAGTAAATAAACAGTAAATTGAACTATACATATAGTATATCAGGAAAATGAAAGTTCGAAAGTATTCAAGGAATACATTTTTAAAAAAACCTGTTTCTGAGAAGTGTAAAAAGATGCAGAAACTTATTCCACTTTCATTTAGTCTCAAACTGCAGTTGAGTAAGTGTCTCCGCTTCTTTTAAGCTTGTTGTTTATATCTACGATAAAAAAAGAAAGAACAAGATCAAGAAAGTTTCGTATAAGATCAAAGGTCCTTTCAGAATTAACAGAATTCTATAAAATAATAGTGACACGTTTTTCTTTAATTTGACCTCAAGGATGTCAATTACGTATACGACGATCGATGGTGCCATTGGAGAAAAATTGGATAAGATGTTTGGAGTAAAACCAAGTTTTGTAAGAGTAAATCCTGGTCAATGCATACTACCTCCCAAGTACATTCTTTATGGTTCAAAAATTCGGGATATGACAGTTTATGAAGATGACATATGGTTGGTGTCATATCCTCGTACAGGTACAAGCATTTTAATTTACGATCTATTTAACAAATTATGTGATTATAAATGATTTTTTTGAATAAAAAAATTATAGGTAGTCATTGGGCACAGGAAATGATTTGGTGTATCGGAAATGATCTTGATTATGAAAAATCACGAACCCTTTTGGTATTACGTAATCCACTTCTCGAGTAAGTATCTTGTAACATCCACAGAATTAACATTAAATAATCCAAGTATATGAGAGCTTCGTAATAAAGTTCGGTCGCCTGACGTGTAATGGACGTACGTAATAATAATTTTATACAATTTATTATTACCCGTTATTACAGCTCTATTAAATGGCACGTATTTATCTAAAGTATAATTATTTACAGAGCCTCAGCCGTTATGATAACTGGTGACTTTGTGGATTGGTTTGCTAAACTTGGAAATTCTGTGGAAAATGTTGAGAATGCACCGCGTCCTCGATATGTTAAAACACACTTGCCATGGGGTTTATTACCTACTCAAATGCATGAGAAAAAGCCTAAGGTACTTCCTATTTAAGTTAATTCCTACTTAGTAGATTCGCCTTAAACATTGTGTTCCATATTTCAGGTTATATACATAACTCGAAATCCAAAGGATACGTGCGTGAGTTTTTATCATTATTGTCGGACATTTCATAATATCGATGAAAGCTTTGAAGAGTTTGCCGAGCTTTTTTTGAAAGATAGTGGTAGGTTAAACACTGATAATTGGATAATAACGATTTTAATAAGTGTACAATTCAAGTAGTATTTTTAACATATATTATTATCAGCGCCAATGGGACCTTTTTGGAATCATGTGCTACAGTTTTGGAACAATAGGCACCAGGAGAATATCTTGTTCCTAACGTATGAAGAAATGAAGAAGGTATAAAGGCAAATTATTTTGACAAATACGATTATCTTGGACAAATATTATCTTTATGAATTATATTCATAGGATCAAGCTGCAGTTATTAAAAGAACGGCTAAATTTCTTAATAAGTTAATTACTGAGGAGCAAGTCAGCGAACTTTGCGAACATTTAAGATTCTCCAACATGGCGGCAAATCCCGCCATAAACATGGAGTTATTATTGCAGCAAAAAGGAATATCTCAAAAAGATCCTGACATGAAATTTATTAGAAAAGGTAAAGTAGGTGATTGGCGAAATTATATGTCAGATGAATTGGCTCGGAAATTTGATGAATGGACGGAAAAAAATGTAAGAGGAACAGACTTTAAGTTTCACGTTGACATCCCTAGTGACGAGGAATGAATCGTGATCCCGTAAAAATTTTAGTTTTATAAATATTAATGTATTCTTAAAAATATTGAAACAATATGGCATAATATAGAGGTATAAACTGTACGCAAAATAATAATAAAAATTTACTTGTGCTTACTGTATTGTATACGAATATTTTACATGTATGTTCTCTATATTACTTATAATAAATGATGATCTCCTTATTATTTCCTTAACAAATCATAAGAATTATTCAAGGGAAACATTATTTGGTAATCAAAGTTAGATAAGTTATATTTTGGAAAGAAAGTTTATGACTTTGACAAGTAAAACTAAAATATGTTCGATTTTAGAGTACTGAGGATCGGCGGATTAGGTAGTCGTCGATATCTAACGTAGAAGGAAAGATGGCGTGTTTTGTGTTGTGCCAGGTTTTTAAAATTGGTAGAAACTGATAAATGAATTTTGACGCTCAGTGTGATTTGGCTTTTGTACCGATTTTTTAAATAGGTGCCCGCAATTTGTCACTTAGTCGTGAAAGCAGTGGAAAGTGTTATGAGCTAGCCACGTGAAAATTCAACGGCAACTGGAAGTGACACCTGAGGCTTAACATAACCTTCTGAAAGCCTTGAACTTTAATTTATAATTGTAGAGATATTTGAATTGTAACTCGATTACGAGCATAATTTTCGCAACGTAGATCAAAATTGATTCAGAAGTATTGTGTACCTCTCTCTAATATAATCTAACCTCTGCAAAATATCTTCTATATCAGTGAGGATAGAAATTTCGTTTTAGTGCATTGTTGAACAGTTGAGTCAGTTACAAGGGCAAAAGTTTTAAATTAAGGAACATGCCAAAAGTAAGGACTAGACAGGCTTCCAATAGCCTATGGCTAAGACAGCGAGAGCTGGGTATGCAATTTTCACTGGGTCATAGTGATCGCTTCCACAAAACTTTGTACTCATCTATCCAGCCCGTGACTTCTTGGGATCATGTAGAAAATTTATCCAGCGCTATGCATGGTGGTGTTTTTAATTTGGAGTACTCACCAGATGGGTAAGATAACATAACATGATATTGTATTGTTGTATTTATGTCACATAATTATGTTTGTTCACATTAATCAAAAATATACTAAAGTGATATTTTTAATTATACTTATTTCATGTGTTGATTTTAATGAAAAATGGTTTCATTATCACACTTTCATATGTTAATTATTTCTTATACTAAATATTTTTACCATTATACTTCTTAATTATATTCTTTCCTGCTATCAATTAAAAAAAAAAGTATATAACCTAAATGACAATCACTGATTATCATCACATTATTAATAACGAGGAACAAAAACTTGTTTAGTATAAAGTTCTTCCTAGTATTCTTATACATGCTTCTTGCTATAAGGATGTATTACAACAAATAGTACATTGTGCAAGTGATTGTAGCAAACTGTATCTGACAAGTATTATAGACTTGAATGTTGATAATCTTATATAATATTTATAAATTATGAAATGATTATTATCAACATTATGTATTAGCTGAAATTAATACTCTGTAGCATTTGAGGATATATATCTTTTAATTGAAATCTAAGGATATGTCTATGCGGTAATATTAGGAGTATGTATATGATAATTATTAGAAAGAAGGAACACTGTAGCTTGACCTTCATTATACTCCTTCAACTCTTAAACTTTCAGACTAATACACTTTTGCTGATAGTGTATAACAATTTGCACATGTCTCATGCCAAAATGCTTATACATTTGGCATAACATATGTTTTCCAAAAGCACTTTAAAACCAACTTTAAATTATATTCTAGCATCAAGCAAGCATATATTGATATGATGTCCATGTATCTTATCATATTATAACTTAATTTCTTGATTAAGTTATTTAATAAGTTACATTAATAATTCGTGTTCATTATAATTTTTGCACACAATCAAGTTTGAACATTAGATCTTTTATTGAAAAATACTATTATACTGTATACGGTTTATACTGTAATATACGCAAAAATATTTGATCTCTCTTATTTCAGATCAATTCTCTTGGCTGCTTGTGAGAAGAAAAGTATTCTTATGTTTGATCCTCTATGTAGAAAACTTGTACACGCAATGGATAATGCCCATGATGATTGCGTCAATGGCGTGAGGTTTGTTGGACAAATTGTATCAAAACATAAAATTAAAGTAAAATAGGCATTATACAATAACAAATGTCGGGACAGATTTTTAGATCAGCGTATGTTTGCTACTTGTTCGGACGACAGCACGGTAGCTCTGTGGGATGCTAGGAATCTGAAACAGAGAGTAAGAACATTGCAGGGTCATTCGAATTGGGTGAAAAACATAGAATACAGTCCAAGTGATGGTTTGTTAATAACTAGTGGGTTTGACGGCAGTATTTATACATGGGATATAAACAGGTACGGTAATAAGGTTTTAAGGAGCACATGCATTAGATAATATAAGGATCTAATGTCGGTTGGCGTTTATAGTTTCACAGAGAACAGCTTTATGTATACTCGAGTATTTCATACTAATGGATTGATGCGGACGAGACTCACGCCAGATGCAACTAAGATGTTGATATGCACTACTTCGGGCTATTTAATTATTATACATAATCTCAAGCTAAGCACTCTTTCTCAGGATTTAGCAGGCTTTAAGGTATCTATATATGTATAGATAAGTAGAAGTAAATAGGCGAGCAATAGTTATAAATGAAATTAATGACTTCTATTTATATCTGTATAGCCCAACATGTATAGATTGATGCAATTATCGCAAACCACTATACCAATAGCTGCAAACTTTACACACCTCTTTTCCAATTCTCGTACTCATAATCGCGTTGAATTTGTTACCGATTTTCCGGTTGGCGATGACGCCGAGGTGATATCTAGTTTGCAAGTACATCCTCAAGGTTGGTGTGCTTTGTCTAGAAATGTCAGTAATGGAGAAAAATCAGAGGTAAGTGTTTTCTTTAATATGAATTCTGACGAATATCAAACTCATTCGTACATCCTCATCTTTCGTGTTTCAGTGGACTTGTATTCATGATATACAAAGCCGGGATGTATCGGAAATTTCAGACCAACTTAAGGATGATGCAGAGTCATCGTTACCATTTAACGAGTTAGCGGTAGAGGAATTTGAGGATCCACAGCCATCACGTTCAGGAATTACCTCCTCCTTTGTCATAGACAGTGCGAATCGCGCCAGGATTATTCAGACCGTATCCGACGTGAGGTCAAATTCCTTCGTTTCCACAGATTCGGTACAGCTAGTCCGCCCATCAAGAACTAATACGTGGCAGCGTCTGTCACGTAGAAGTCAACGCTCACACTCAAGAAGTCCACGTCCTGATAGGCACGTAGTGAGGACGAATTTTGGGGTGATCGAGATAAGCCCTAACGCTTCTGACTCCAGGTCGAATGTGAACCGCGAGGACGAAAGGCAGGAGGAAAGATTCCGCGAGGCTGAGACAGAGGAAGACAATCCACGTGAGGATTCCACAGATGCACGTGAAAGAGAAGATGATCAGGAGTACAGAACGCCTAGACCGAATCATCAGTTTAATGATCTGAGGCGGAGGAACATGATTGATAACAGCGACTTCTCCACAGCTAATGTAGAGTTGCATGTAAGCACCACAGACGTTTGGGAGGCTCTCGTGGCTATAAGGGAGGCAAGATTAAGGAGGGAACGGGATAGAGAGTTTCTTCCTGGTGGCGAGAGGAGAGGAGACTGGCTTCCTAGATCAAGTAGCGGCGTCAGCGTAAATATACCTAGGTCATCCCATACGGTTGTGATAATTGGTGAGAGAACCAGGGCGCAAAATCAGAATCGACAAAGCCAGCAGACGATGTACGCGATAACCAGGAATCATAAAATTCACCAGAATGTACCGCGACTCACGCATTACATTGATGAACCTAATTTAGGCTCTGGGTACATAAAGGAATTGTGCTTCTCTGCTGATGGTCGGCTTATTTGCTCGCCATTTGGCTATGGCGTGAGACTCCTGGCATTCTCTAGCGAATGCGAGGAATTATCTACTTGTGTTCCGTCGATGAATGAGTCTGTGCGATTGTACGAATTGGCAACAAATGTCAGCCATTCAGATATCGTAGTCAGTACGAAATTCTCGCCTAGGCATTGCCTTCTTGTGTCAGGTTGTCTCAGTGGGAAAATTGTCTGGCATCAGCCGGTAGTTTAGCTAAATCGGTTGCCGCATAGATTAGGTCGTTGATTTTTTTTAGTGGGATTCAAGATTGTGTTTTGTCTTCTGTTGAGGGCAGACTTTATTTGAGCGAAGCGTATTTTTAAAATGGCTCGTTAAAAACATTTAATGAATTTTCGTGTGTCTGGTAATGATATCGCGTGCCTGAGACTACATAAACTGGAACATGCGGATAAAGCATTTCTACTAACATCTAATGTGGACGGAAATAATTTTTATTCCGATCCATAATAGTCTAATCACGATATGGGTTAGTTCATTATATAGAAATTTTGTAGATTTGAAATTTTTTTTTACAAAATTACTGTGTCTTTGCCTGCGAATCGTTTCTTCATTGATATTTTTGGGCTTACTAGGATTTTTTAAGCGTGTTCGAATAAACAATCAAAAATGTGCAAATTACGTGCTAGGGATGCCAATGATCTACCTTCTTAAAATAATTGATTTCGGGATCGCTGCAAGAAACTGGGAAAAATGTACAACTATTTTTTATTAAAAATTTGAAGTGCTTATACACGAGAATTCAGGAATCCACCCTCGGCATCAATACCCGGTAATTATGTATTGTTTAAAATCTACGAAATTGTCACGATTCTCATAGAGACTGGAAAAAGTTACTAGCTGCTACTGTAACGCGTGTAAATAATTCGCAAGTCGAATTTTAGAGAGAGAGACGGAGAGTGTATGAAAGAGATTTCCCAGGGCATCGAAGAAAAAGACCTGAGAGAGAAAGACAGAGAGAGCGAGTAAGACAATGATGTCCTTTTCGCATAGAGTGCGAAAGCTCATGCGGAAGCCGAGCACTATATTTTTATCCATTTTCTTGTAAAATCATGGAAGAGTTTCGAGAACGTCGAAAAATTGTTACATCGACGAGAGGAATATGTTTTTTTCGTTATAGCCTTAAAATGATCTAATGAAAAAGGGCGAGTAATTTGTTTTCGTAATTCGGTCTTTTTTTTTTTTTTTAATTTTATTCCCTCGCGAGAGAGCGGGAGGGCCAGGGAAATATGAATGGGTGAGAGCAAGGAGAGCGAAATAGAGATAAATGGAAGTTAGTATGAGCGTGTGTCTATATGTATGTATGTTTAATGAGTGACGCGCATGCGCAAAGGAGTAATTATCGTAAGTTCCAATAACTTGAAAGTACTTAAGTTTTGGTCTTGATGCTTCAAAGCAAAAAGTGAACCCGCGATATCGGCTTATGACTCACGTGAGTTTTCATTTTACTAAAGAACAAAAGGTGAGAAAGAAAAGAGAAAAGTAGGACAAGAGTAACCGAATCTTTGGAAAATTGTCAGTGTCTCATTATAGTTTAATTTCGCAGAAGCAATTGGGACTGAAGCTATTTCGGTACTCGCTCTCATGTACTTGTAATAACGAAAGAAATTAAGATTCTGTACAGTAGTTAAAGTGCTCATTGTTTTTGTAAGATTTGCTTGTTTTTTCCCCCTCTCCTCTTATGTCCCCATTTTTTTCTATACAATAAACTATTACAACCAACATCGCATCAAACGGTTTCGCATACCTTCACCCAATCAAGGAAGCCGCATTTTAGCTGCAGAGGTAATTGCAAAATGCAACCAAGTCGCTGCACTTAAATAGTAACTGGTGGCAACGAACGGCAGCAACGATTGATCGAGTTCCTTACGCTTTGCGTTAGTCTCAAAGCATTCGATTGGGCTCTCCACGACGTATATACGGAAAGTCATCACGAGCGGTATGAATTTCTTTGGCATGATGAACGAGACATTTCCCCACGGTAAGCTTGATAACGAAATTGGCACTTGAATGTCAGAACGATGAGTTATGGCCGTATGGAATACGGGCCGATATTGCCAATGACTTTTCTGTTATTTCAATTTGCGAATGTCGTGACCCAGTATGGTACCGACTCGGATTACTCTTTTACTGGGATTCCTTTTACTTTGCAAAAACGTCATTCCGGCGGTTGAAGCATCCAACTGTGGAAAATTCTTGCAAGTATTTTTATATTAATTATATATATGTGTATATTATTCTGTTGGATCATAAGTTCGTAATAGCTGTACTGATGATGGTGCCATATTAGAAATTGATCAGAGTCATTCTGATCGTTAGATAATTTTTGGAGTATTGTAAAAGGTATTGTATCGAAGTATAATGTCGAATAAAAAGTTTTGTTTCGTAGATCTAGATATGTCTTTGAGATCAGTCCATCCAGCAACGATATTGTACGGCTCGCGAAGATCACGGAAAAAATACGTTCGGCTGTCGTGAAGCGACCCAAAGTGGATGGCCGCTCTGTTCATGTGATGATAAAGCCAGAGGATTTTGAAAATTTTTATGGAATCGCTCAGGAGGAAAATATATATCTGAATCATCGACATATTTGCATCGATCCCAAGGAATTGAATGATCTTTTACCCAGGGAAAACAGTGCTGGATTGAATTTGAATTCTGAGACTAGCGTTCTACATCCTTTAGGTAATACAAGGTATTTCAGTACGAAACGTGAGAAAAAATTGCGTCGCTTTTCCAAGTCTAAGACGGGTAATCTTGTTCGGACGTCTTTGTGGAATGATTGGAAACAATTTGACGAGCTTCTGTCTTCTTGGAAAGAAGGGATTGAAAATACTTTAAGAAAAGCGGAAAGGAAATATAATGAAATTAAACGGATGAAGTTTGGGGCTGATAATTATACTGATATTTTTTCATCCTCAAAGATGTCTTTATTAGGTCCTACGACGTCCGTCAATGATACTAATTCTCGGACAACGGATGTTGTATCGATGCAGCCGCATTTTACTACGGATTTTATGGATTATGCACCAAGAGACAGGATGATGATGGGACTAGTCACGACTTCTGGTGTTAGGAATACGAAAGGCCTTTGGAAATCTGTGAAATATACCACGTGGGCGCCTAAGGATCTCGAGGAGTGGAGAAGGAAACAGACATTTCAGATTCGGAACGTTCTTGCTACTACGGTTTCAAGTAATAACAGTTTGGCTAAGAAAAAGAAAGGAGGTAAGAAGAAAAATTCGGATAAAAGGCGAAATGCTGATAAAGATAAAATGGTTGAGAAAACGTATAGAAATAGGGCAGTTACTAAAAAAATGCCAGTGGCTGTCAAAGCGACAACTAGAAAGAGTGTGAAAAATCATAAGACTACGAGCGCTCCGCGTGGGAAAAAGAAAAAACAATCAAAATCTACGACCGTTAGGACCAAGGTGTCCTCCAGAAAACCAAAGTTAAGTGAATCAGAGAAGGATAAAAAACGCATGCACGGTAGTAAAGCGAGTACGAAGCATTATTCGAACAGACCTACGACAAGGAGTCCAAAAACGGATAAAATTTCGAAAAAAGGCCAGAACAAGAAGCCCAAAAATAAACGAACCTTCGTGTTTAAAAATTCGACAATCAGTCCATTTAGAAGTACGACTGCTTCAAATAGGGACGGTTGGGAGAAAAGGAACGTCATAAGTCGTACCTCAATGAAACCAAGAAATATGTCAAAATCTTCAGGTGAGAAAAAGTATAAAAATTCGACAGGAATGCATGAGAAGCATCATCATTTTAGAATGAAGAGGGATAATTGGCATTTTTTGAGGCATAATGTCGAGATATATAAACCGGAATCTCATTGTCCGCCTCCTGAGAGTGCAGTAGGTTGTGGAGACGACAATGAATTTACGACTAAATTACCTACTACGGCAGGTCTAGTAATACCATCTGGAGAAGGAACAGCTACTGTGGAACCAATTGAGCCGGATTTTACACCTACACCACCTGTACCTCCGCCAGGACTAGAGCCATTTCCACCTCCTTCGCCAGATGTTAGTCCTGAACCTCTTCCTCCTGATACTCCGCCAGATCTTGATCCTGAATCTTCTCCACCTACTCCTTCGCAAATTTCAGACGTGCCTTCTTCGCAACCAGGTCCTGATCCTGCGCTTCCTGAACCTCCAGTCTTTGTAGAATATTTCCCTACGCTTCCTAATCCTCCATTCTATCAAGATTATGACTCTAATTCACCTGTTCCTCCTCCAGCTTTAATCCCAGGCTCAATAGGTCAATCTTCCGGAGCACAGGGATACACGCCACCAGAAATTGGTGGAGTAGATATTTCTATAGTACCAATACCTGGTGCGCCCGGTACACCTGGCATACCTGGCTTACCCGGTGGGCCTGGCCAAGCTGGTGGAGCTGGTAGCCCTGGTGGACCAGGCGGACCTGGTCAAGCTGGTGGAACTGGTGGAGCTGGTGGAGCTGGTGGAGCTGGTAAACCAGGTGGAGCTGGTACCCCTGATGAACCAAGCGGACCTGGTCAAACTGGTGGAACTGGTGGAGCTGGTAGCCCTGGTAAACCAGGCGGACCTGGTCAAGCTGGTGGAGCTGGTAGCCCTGGTGGAGCAGGCGGAGCAGGCGGACCAGGTCAGTGGTACATTCCTCCTGAATATGCATTAGGAGCGAGTGCATCTACTACTCAACGAACGACGCAACGTTATAAAGAACCTAGTAAGTAATTCAGATTTACACATAATTCTCTCAGTATTCAGATTGCTTCGAAATACATACTTAAACCGTTTTTAAATTACTAGATTCGATAACAAGCGACAAGGATGAGTACACTTCCATCACTTGTGATACTCCTATGCTGTCATATTCTGGAGACGTAGCAGACTACATACAAGGCAACGTACCGACAGAAAACACTTCCAAAAACCCTAAGGCACGAGCTAGCAAGAAGACTCATCGACTGAAAAAAAATGGTGGCCATGTGAAGCAGTGAAAGGCATAAAATAAAAAATCGATCTTTTAAAAGAAAATTCCTTGCATGGGTTATGGTAGATACTAAAATCATAATTTGCAACGAAGATTCCTGAAAAGGTTTCTTTATTAACAAGCATTTAAACCTATGTACAATTATGTCGGCAAACTTAACAATCTGGTGTTACAATTTAACGTTACTTTGCATGATTTGTACGCGCCCAATTATACCCCTACATGGACTCTATGTGTACGATAGTACCTGGTTAATGAAATAAGACTTCCCAGGATAATATCACTTAAAGATATGCATTGTATGCAATAATTATGGATTAGTAGTATCCTAGTTAGTATTCGGTACTTGGGCACCTTCGTTTGCGCGAGAGTTCTATAAAGCTAAAGAGAGTACTGATAGGTACATATTCTAGGCAGATAAATAACTTGTGACGTCTCACAAAGGGAATGAATAGCTTGTGATACAATGAGTGCAATACTCGTTTGTGCATGAGAGTATTATACTCTTTCATTTCTCTTACTGTTCTCTAAGGATTATCGTTAGTGAATTTGATATACATACTGCAATACACCACTGACGTGAACACGACAATTGAAAGCAGCGAGATTAGCAACTGGTCTGACCATTTATACGAATAATACTCATCAGAAGGATTAAGTTTAATTATGAATCGATAATTGTTTTTTTTTTTAAATATACATACCGATCAAATGATAATATAAAAAACAGCTGTCAATATAATATATCCGATATTGGCAAGGACCGTGTCTCCAGTGCTAGCTAGGGTCGAGAGTGTGTGATCATGACCGTGTTCATTATGATTTGTATTCGTATGATTGTATGTAGTGTTGTCGTGTAATCCGAGACCTTCTTGAGGTGACCTCTTAGCCCTTTCTACCAGAGTCAATTTAGTGTTTCCGGTTTTACGTGGCTGCGGCGAATACATTGGTATAGATAGTTCATCGTGTACAATTTGTCTCTCGGAGTGTTCAGGATTCAGCTGGGGAATATTCTCAGGTCGTACGTCACCAGGTATAGGTGGTGGGAGTTCTCCTTTGAATCTACCAAACTGTGGTGTCCTGCTGAGGACATCTGACGACAGTCTAGTTTTGGGACGTTCATTGACTCTCGGTATAGATTTAGCGAGGTTCATATCCTGAACCTGTTTACCATCATAGGTAACCAAAGTACCAACAGGAAGATCATCGATTCTAGAAGTAGCAATTCCAGCTGGTGGTAAGTAATAGGAATCCAATCGATCGGCAGCCATTTCCATGTCATCAATTTCATCCAGTCGAGGCTTATTTCGTGGAATCTGAGACTTCTTCTTTAATTTTTTATTCCTATTACGATCCGGTGGCGATGGTATGAACATAGGTTCAAAATTGTCTAAAAGTCGATACTCTAAGCTGTCTGGAAAGCTGTCATCCTCACGTGGTTCCGTATTTCTATCTTGAGCGATATCCAACTTCGTGATTATCGGCTTGAAGCCTCCCTCCACAACAATGGATTCCGGTTTGAATCCTGTGTTCCTGGCTAGAGACTGCTTCTCGTAATTAACTGCACTTAGCATAGAGGAAGATTGGGAAGAAATGGTGGGTTCTTCAAACTGCATTCGATCAACCTGAGATATCTTCGCCTCCATCTTTCCTCTCTGCTTGTTCTCCATCTTGATGAGTTTAGTCTTACCAACGGGTCCTTGGAGTGTAGGCGTACCACGGTAGATCGGTTTTTTCCAATCGGCATAATTATTACCCGTTAACGCGGTGAACGGAATCGTCGAGCCAGGGTGACTGGATGACTGTTGAACGGGACGACGTTTCTGTAGAGGCCTCCTCATCATTAACATCAACTGCGCAGGCTTTTGATGACTCGCTCGTTGAGGTGCTCTGTTATATAACGTTGGAGGTCCCTGGGGATACGAGTATTTCACTCCGTAGCTCATGATCGGTCGTGAATCTGGAACGAGTTTAGATTGCTGGTTAGATTGCTTAGATTCCTCCTGATCGTATTCTCTATAGCCAGCCGGAGTATGATTTCCTGGGTCGTTCTCCGGAGCCATCAAGTACGTATATCTTTCCTCGTTAGGCATTAGAAGCGTTTGGGAGTGCTTGTGACTCTCGTGCGTGATGACAGACGGCGAGTAGGCTGACCTCTGCCCGTGATCTTCAAACGATTGAAAGCGGTCGTATGAGTTGTGAAGGTACGGCACGTTCGAGCGGGTTAGTTGCGTATGGGAGCTTAGTTTGCCTTGGCTAGGGTTAGTCACTGCGGGGGGACGACGTAGAGGACTGTACTCCCGGTGCTGCTCGAAGAACTCGGGCCCGGGGGTTACCTTGCTCGAGACACGAATGCTAGCTCCTTCAGCAAGGTCATCCGATTCCTGTGCATCTGGCGCCGAGTAGACTTCGCTGATCTCGCTGGCTGAACTGGAACTCCTGTCGCAGCTATCGTGCACGTTGATCTTCCAGCCAAGGTAACGATGGGTGAAGCACTGTTATGGAAGTTGAAAATTAATTATTTTTACAAAATCAAAAGGTGCAGAGAAATAGAGATTTTTGAATTAATTTTTGTTGTATCTATCGGTACCTGGTAGTAAACTGTATCGGGGGTATCCTTATCGGGAGTCCACTGGATGATTCCAGGAGCACCGTGATCGCACATCAAGGTCAGAGTTCGCTGATAAGCACCGAACGAGCCGAAATCATCGGCTTCTTTATCTTGATCTGGTACCCAATTACAATAACGGCCTACACCTGTTGGTATTACTGCTCCTCTTTCACGACGTACCCCAGCGAAGATTCTGACAGCCTTGAGAAAGAGAAAATTTTTTATGACTATCCAATGTTACAGCTACCATAAGGTTCATATCAAGTCACTGTGTCCTTACTTTCTTTTCTTCTGGAGTTTTGTGCTGATAACCACCGACCGGGTCATCAGTAATATAGAAAGGATGATAACGTGCTGGAATATTCGGATCTAAGCCAGCCTCGACCACAAAAGTGTATTGCTTGCCTCGAACTACGTTAATCTCAGGTATCAAAAGACCATTTATGTACCATGATATTCCCCAGCCAACGTGACCTAACATATATTGCAACACAGGATACAAACGATTAAATCATTTTCATACTAATTAACTCTTTTTCTCATGTTAGATTACAGCATCCGTTTGCTACCTGTAATCGCTGGGTAGCCATGTTTACCGCCAGTGGGCCCTAGCTGGGCATACAAGACGCCATCTTCTGGTTCATCGCACTCTATTGGTGGAATAAACCAAGCGTCCTTCTTTGATGCTGGAGCAGGTGTAGCTGGTTTATTACGGGGTCTGGTAGTTACAGCATGAGTCTAAGATCAGTCATAATTATTAATAGTCCTAGAATAATTAATAAGATTTATAAATTCTAATTAAATCTAAAAATACCTCAGCATTACTCTCTCTCTCTTCGTTATCGTTATATTTATGATCTTGATCCTGATCCTGATCAGGCATTGGACAGTTCCATGCTGGAGGTCTTCCAAATTCAATAAGCTTGGTTGTCTTTAGATAATCACTATGAAAACTAACTTCATTCCTCTCATTTAATGGACCAATAGCCCAGATTATAGCTTGCGATCCATTTGTCCGGACTCGTTGATCCAGTTCGTCACTAGCCTTCAAGGGTCTCTGATATGTCACTATACTGTAGCCGTTCACCATGGCTGCATTCAGAAGACGTACGGAATTTGTGTTTTCCTGGCAATGTTCAGTAAAACCGGTATAATATCGATAATCAATTCTAATTCCAAAAGCTGTCTAAACCGATTCCAATCCTGTACTACATAAGTTTCCTTACCTGTATACGAGTGTCGGGACAGCTGCCGCGTCCACCGGAACATTGTGATTTCGCGTCCAGGAAGTAGTCGACGGCGTAGCCCTGAAGAGTCTGTTTGTCCACCCAAGCGACAACAACGTCACCACCGACCATAATACTTCTTTCGGTATTCGGCGACAGTCCGAAGGACATGTATTTTCCAGCATCTAGATAAACATGCTCATTACTTTATATAGCGTATATTAGTTAATGCATAGAAAAAAAAGAACAATAGCGCAATAATTTCGCACCGAGGCCAAATAAAGCTGTTATCGATAAATAAAACTATTTGAAAGATCAAATCATAGTCCGTTTTTAACCCCTTGCACTATTTTGACGAGTCTGACTCATGATGAAAATTTTAGGCCAAACACGGATGTCACGAGTCGGGCTCGTTGTTCAGTTCCAGACCAAACATGAATATCACGAGTTTGACTCGTACTCGACATTTCAAGTCGAACATGAATACCACGAGTCTGACCCGTGGTCTTAGTTTTGGACCAAATTATATTATTATAATTAATCAGAATTTGTTTTCATCTTATGTAATAATTAAAGTATTTTTTAAAAGTTTTTGATTCAAATTCATTTGAATTTCACAACAGTTCCATCGCGTGAAGTAAATACGGGCACGACTACCTTGCGCTCGGTCGTAAGAATAGGTATCAAGTTTCGGCACGCCCGCTCCACCGCTCGCCTTCCACCACGACAATCGAGGCAGCCGCGTTTGGCCTGACTTTTCCCGAGGTTCCGAATAGTGCAAGGGGTTACATTTGTTAACATTTACATGTAACCTATGTCCTAATCCTATTGGTATACGTACTGCACGTGCGTAGGATTGACACGCCGTACGTACTTGGACGTAGACATTTCGAGGTTAGGTATTTAAAATGTTTTCAAGAACGCTCCTAGTCGTACTTTTGAATAGCGAAATAGCCGGGCTTCTTTCTCTGAAGGTAACGTCTGGCTATATAGATCAGCTACAAGAGCATTAAAAAGTTGGTACGCATGGCGATGCTATAAAATAGGAGCGGCCCTGCACCTGTATGCCTTTCTCTTTGTATTTCGCAATGCTGCAGCTAAGCGGGCCGCGTACTGCTAATTATAAAAGTGAAAATAAAACTCGTCCCGCTCGGTATCGTAATTTCGAGGATCGCTCGAGTGGCGCTCGAATTGATTATGAATTTTCTATGGCGAGCGACGAGTTGCTATTTTACATTGGACTTTTCTCCCTTGCTCTTTTTTTTTATCATTTCCCCTTAGTTTTCTTTGAATCGAAAAAAAAGATCCATAGAACTTTTCGACTAGCTTCTTTTTAACTGTCGTTCACTGAATAACAGCTTAGGTTGTGGTATTTGTTATAAGCGCGTTTCTCACGTACTGTAATAGCTACTCTTAATAAATATGGACTACGGTAAGTTTCTAGATTGGCGCTTTTGAAACGTAGATATAAAACTCACCGAGTTTTCCGACAAGTTGAATGACTATGCTGTCTCCGGCGACGGCCCAACGCACCTCGAATGCCAGATTGTCCTCGAGAACTTCGCAATTGAGCTTGGACTGAAATTCCGTGAAATAATAATATTAACATGATGATATTACGGTCTATGGACCGTTGTGCATAGCGACACAGAGTCCTGGTGATTTTTCTGCGCTTTGCATTGTCCACGAAGATGACGCTCGAGGACTTTTACATTAAAAAAAAAATATTTTGCCGTGGATGATATTTCGTTGAAAATACGTTTATTAGACGTATACGAATGCATGAGTATAAAAATACAAAATAGTACAAAAATATATATGTATAATAATGCATTTCCGCATGTATAGTAAGATATATGTATATTATGTGTATACAGTGTGTGTATACAGTGTCTTTATCCTAGTGACGTTACGTACTGTGCCATACCGTGTTCGTCCTGCATTTACGTGGAAGGTACAGTGCCGTGTATATTAATTATTAATTACCAAGAGTTCTTGAATGTAATGGAAGACGAGTTTTAGAAAGAGTGCAGAAAAGATTTTGGACTTTGCCAAGCATTCGAATTTGACGCGATTAACAATTATAATTAAAAGATAAAGTAATAAGTTAGATAACGCACGGTAATGATAATATCACAAAAATAATTTTTTGTATACACAAAATATGAAAAAGGTATTTTAAGTTTAAATCAAGAGTACGTAGATCCTTTACAAGTTTTATAGGACAAGCTCACTGTATATTACGTTAAACTTATAGTATATAAAAAAAACTGGCCCAAAATAGAATTGTCGATCGATAAAGTAACTCGTCGTGTTTCTCGCAGTACGAAAGAGAATAGAGAATTATGAAAAAAAGATAGAATAAAACGAGGACAAGAGATAACCTTTTATCACAGTCGAGAACGTGACAGTTTCGCCGTTTGCTATCCTGATTACTTGATTACGCAGCACAGGGTACTGCGCTTTCCTTGAATCCGTGCAATAAACAGGCAAGATGTTTATATACGTAAACGTATCCTAATAGAATCATGCGGCTTTACGTGTCCAGAGCTTTGCCGAGATGACACGCGTACTCGGACGATACTAAGCTTAACGTAAGAGAAAACCGGTTTACAGATTCAATGAATACTCTGACATACGGTAGCGTTAAATAAATAAGAAAATTAAGGGGGAAAAAAAGGAAAAAAATGTAAGGGCCACAATTAACTCGGAAATTTCGTAAAGACTCTTTACACTGTCACAGGTCGATTTGACGTGTCACTATGCGTGACTTAAAAAATTAACAGCTTTAACACTAAACGTACCATCGAGCGGTCATTTGACCGTTTTAAAGCCAATAATACGTTTTTAAAAATTTTTGGTATGTTTAGTGTTAAGTATGTAGTACATAGCGTAAGGATTAAAGTGCACGGATGAATGTGAGTACAACGCCGTTCTCTCCTGATACCGATTGACAGAGCATCCGAGAATTGGAAATCTCCTAGGTAACATGAATCGATCAATAACGCACGTAAGAATCGAGTCTCTGATCTCCCTGATAACGTAGAAGTCTCGAGTGCGAGGCTTGTTGCGGTTGCCCAAGTCGAGAAACAGCTTCCTGGGTATAATATGGGTTGCCCAGGAAACGAGTGGCCTGGCCATCATACCGCAGCCCACCAGGAAGCTGCGACGGGTTCAAGGATGAGGGATGCTGTTGGGCAAGATTGTGATAGGTCCGCTGAACGATCGGCTGGATGGTCTGAACATTTGCGAGCTGACGTAACTGTGTCAGGTTTGGATTTTCAGCGAGGTATTGAAACGGAAGTTGTTGGGGTTGGAGCTGGTAGGGTTGCTGGACCTGGTGCAGTTGTTGAATAGGTTCCTGGAGCTGAAGGCTCTTTGGTATACGGTAGTCTAGAGCCTGGACCACCTGGACCTGATCGTCACGACGGAGAAGAGGTCGGTACGTTGTGGGACGATAGTGTTGCTGATCGAGTAAGGACGCTGAGGGATGCGAAGAGGAAGAAGCAGAAGAAGAAGAAGTGGGAGATGTTTGTTGGTACTGTGTGTATGCTGACTGTCCCTGCCCCCCGCGCACGTTCTGCAACACAAGGACAGAGACAGGGTTTTAGGTGTGCTTTCTATACAATGATCATCCAGAAGTCCTACCGGAACATATGGATTCTAGCTCGACGTCATTGTTATCATCAGGTACGACCCTTTAAGCGAGCGAAGAGGATGCGGTAAAACTTGTGGAAACGACGGGATGAGTTGGATATCGTGAACATATGATATCGATGCTATATAGCTAAGCTTGCTATTTGATCTAAGCTCGTTGCTACCGGTACTTCCGGGGAAGGAAGAATGAAATTCCGATGGTGAAATTGCAATACCTACTTGCTGCTTCTCATTGAAGGATCTTCGAGCATGAAATATCTCTAAGTATTTGCGGGCTATGTGCGCTACTAGCAATTTCAAAATTCTTGGTACCAGAATGGTACAGGGACTCATGAGATGTCTTTCTCTTGAATATCGTGGAAGATACATTTTTCGTTCAACGATATGACGCGCGATATTGACTCCTCCAGTGAAAAGCGGACGTGCGATTGTCTCCGTGATGTTTTGTTGCGGCTGTCGTACGTGTTTTTACCACAAAGTGTTGCTCGCGATTTGAGCATGGTAAATTTAGTATCACTCTCACATCGGCTACTTGCGTTTGGTATCACCGAGTCATATCCTTTTAACGATTTAATAGACCGTACATCCACGCTCTGCATTTCTCTCGCTGCTACTGTTTAATTTCGTAATTTATTCCTGTCTAGAAGGAATGGAAGCATTTCGCGGCGTTAATCGCCTCGGATTTTACCGCTACTGGAATTAGTGGTGAAATTGTCTAGCATGTAAAAACACAGTACACCGTATACCAGCATTACTCAACGGGATGATAAATAATTCCGTGAACGTTGCTCCGAGAATCTCGGAAACCTATAAATCCTTTCTTATTCAACTTTTGATGAACGTAGCGGTCACTGCATAAATCGGATTAAAGGTTAGTTAATAACAACAAATTATTGGAATTATTAATTTACAAAGTAATTTCATGACTTTCTTTCTATATGAGAGTGAAGAATGAAGTGTAGGCGGGGAAAAGATTTTTTAAGTTTTCTTATAACGTAATGGCTTAGATTTGCCAATATCCGAAGTAAACCTCACGGATGCGATCTGTTGCGATCATAAACCTTATGGAGGTCGGGAACAGTTCCTTCCAGTTAGAGCGAAGGTTTCAGGCTGGTACTGATGTCTACGGCCATAAAAGTGTAACTTACCTGAGGAGAAACTCCAAGCATCTTGAGCGACGGTGGTACGTTCAAGCCCTGAGGAATTTTCACGTGGCCAAAGTCGACAGTGAAAGCTTCGCACCAGACGCCAAAATGTCCAAGCTGGTGAATGGTAAGGTCATCGGGTAAGGTCAGTACAATGGTCTTCCTGTCGTATCGACGTAACGGAACTACTTTTCCATTCTCGTCGGGAACTCTTATTCCCTGAGGGGTGGGTGATGGTCCAGGACCCACCCAGAATTTAGCGTCTGTCGGGGACAGACATGTTTACGTTAATTAAACCCATTTGAAACTCATAAATATTTTGCTTCTCGTTATAAAGCCTGGAAAGCTTGATTTCAAACTTACCAGGAGCTTCGCCGTCGTAGCTGAATCCAGGAATTAGCAAAGTTTGAGCGTCGACGACGACCACAGGTTCTGAGCTGACACCGTGGACCCCGTTCAATGCAGCCAATTTCTGAGGTCGCGGGTAATCAAAGCCACGTGGGATCTTCACGTCGCCGAAATTCACCTGGATCATCATTTTATATATGTGTTATAATAAGCGGCCTGATATATCGCTGTTTAATCGCTATTCTGACATTGAGACTTTTATTCGAGCAATATAATTATGGGTAGACTTGAAAACCTTGAAATTCGTAAGGAATATTATTATGCTCCAGATATTTAGGTACACTGTTTTATCACTATAGCATTCTGATAATATGGCATTGAAGTATGATTTAATTGCCTGACCTTAAAGATACTAGTCTATTGAAAGGTACTTACGGAGAATTCATCGCACCATACTGAGAACCATTTAATGTTGTTCAAGGTCTTGCCCTCTGGCAACGTCAGGGTTATGTCCTTTTTACGGTACCGCTTGAGAACATTGGTCCTATGTATAACAATCAAAAAATGAATTTCACGTAATTTCATCATCATAGCAGTTTTTAATATTCCAATACGGATTAATCGATTTTACTCACGTTCCATGTTCATCGCGAACCCTGAACCCATTGCCATTGGGATTCTTAGAGTTTCCAGCATAGAAGAAGGCGGCTGAAAAATAAATAATTACGGTGCAGAAAATTTGGTAAAATTAAATTATTCTTTACGATTCCTTCTGTTTTGCTCCTAAGTTACGTAGTGAGACTGTTCATTTTCTTTTCGATTGAAACAAATTCCAGTGTCTCCCCTTCTTTTTTTTTTAATTGCGTCGACGATCCACTGTCCTTATAATTATTCGATACTCGAGTCAGGACAAAAGTGAGAGTGATGTCTATATACACTGAGGTAGCGAACTCTTGGAAAGTGATGTGAAGTCGTACCTTTTACGGACGGGACAAGTTTACCGGCGTCAGTTTTCAGTACCGAGCTGAAACCCGTACCAGGACGCCATTCGGTTAGACGTCGGCAAACACTCCCGGTACTAACCTCCGTGAGGTTACATCACGAAAGGATCCTCGAGATTATCCAGGGAAGTCAAAAACGAGCGAACGAATCTACTTATTCAAATCGAAAGTAGCCGGTTCGAAGTTTTGGGAAAGTTTCAAGAAGACTAAATCGAGCGGTGGATTCCCGTAGTGTTCGTGTCAGGGAAAGTCACTCGGGTGCCTTTTTCCTTTTTTTCCCCCCCTTTCCGACTTTTACGCCCCTCGACGGTTTACCAACCAGCGATGAAAGTTATACGGACGACACATTGCCTTTCAGTCTCTGTATAATAATTAATTCGACAAAGTAAACCAAAAAGTCAACCAAAAGTAAACTAATACAAGTATCCTTTATTATTCACCTGGTCCTTCGCCGTCGTAGGTAAAGTCCTTGATATAGAGAGTCCTTCCGTCCACTGCATAAACCTCACCGCTAACCTTGTGATGAAGTTCAGAGAGTCTTCCTATCAGCTTCCCATAGTAGGCTCCATGGCATTGCTCTGCAAATAGAGAAGTCTCATCTCTCAATGATGTTCGTTAGCTGCTACGAGAAGCGGGAGATTGCGTAGTCGGCATTGCAATTAGCATCCTTAAAGCGAACGCGGACATTGCCTGTGTATATTTGTGATGCTGAATACAGTGGGCATAGTAGAGAAAGGTGTAATAAATCTTCTTCGGTATCCTACGTAAAAATTTATCGCCCTTTTTGACTGGGAAAAAAATCTGGACTAACGGGCAATCCTGGACGAATTGACTTTCGACGTGGGATTGGACGGTTAACGGTAGAAATTACATTTCCATGGGGACATCAATCCCGCGCGTTCTGCCAACCTTAGCATGCAAAACTAGGTTCCTTGAATGCTTCCATTCTGCTCTCAGCCGTTACCCTCTCTGCTATGGCATGTAGGGCAGATCGTATAGCATGGGACCACGGAATGTGAACCATTCCTCATTAGAGCCTGGCGAATCACCATTACCGGTCATGTCAACTGCCGTTTAGCTCTTGGCTATTTGCTCGCTATTATTTTACCCTAGAATCGTCCTGTCACGAAAGGGTTAGACCCTAGTGTCCTTGAAAAATCTTGTGGTACCTAAATGTTAACACTGATTCTCCTAGCCTTCCGGGTAATTGTACAGTGCGCGTTATAGGCAGTCTTATCGGGAACGATAAGCCGATAAATACGATGGAGATTACGAAAGACGAAGATTAATTACTAGATTTATTCTACAGTGTACTATGAGAATGTTTAGTATGCTACTTTATAAGACGGTTTTGATATTTTTTATTCATGGCAAATTTTAAAATATTAATATTAATAAAGGTAACTTTATTGCTCAGTGTACCGATTAACATTTTAATTATCGACTGAGCATATATTAAAACCAGTTTAACTAGAGATAAGAATCTAAACGAATTTTTGTATCTTAAGGAAATATTAATAAATAATAAAATTCGCGTCTGTCGTGCATCGTCGATTTATATGAAATTCATATCGAGAAATCTTTTTAATTAAGTGGCAACATGTGTGCACCTCGATCGATTTTCCACGTTTACTGATTGTCTCGCGTATTCTGATCGAAGCGTAGGTGCTTTTGGTCCGTGTAACATTTCACTCGTATTTCACTTTTTTTTCCCTTTCTCACCCGACGAATAAACATACGCGCCTGTTCGCTGAACCGTTCGCCCAATTAAGGTGTCAGCGGATCGATTAATTAACGGTGAGCTGGTAATTAATCGAGACGTACAGAAAAGCCCGTAAACAAGCAAGGCGCCGGAAAGTGTGATTTGTTGGTACATACTAGAGCCTATCTCATCTCCTGTATTATTTTCTTTAAAAAAAAATGCCATTACGGTTACGTATATGTACCTGTCTACGTATCTGTAACATGTTACGTAGAATCCTGGTAGCAGGAATGTGCTCTATCACCGTATCTACATATGCAACGTATTCGAATCGCATTCCAGACTATCGTCAGTTCGAGAAACAGTCTCCATATATGGAGACATCTGAAGATTTTATAGAGAAAAAAATTGTTTGTATCTACAACTTAATTTTTTTACCAATTAAACAGATTCCAGAGAAACAGATTCGAACGCTTTGACATTTTCTACCGTGATAAAAATAAAAAAAGATGAGAACTTGACATTTGTACAGTAAAGCCGTGTCAATTCGTCTGCATCAGATTACGCAAGACGAGTACGCGGCTAGAAAATCAATCGTCTCCAAACATTAATACGTCAGACTCTTTCAATTTCAAATTAGAAATATGAGCTTATTTTCAATTTTAGCAAAGTGTTTTCGCGATGATTGGTATTACCCGCAGTCTGATTTTGACATCCGTTAAGAACAAGGTGAATTGTATAAGGGAGAAAAGAAGACAAAAAAGTCCCTAGTAATTGCTCGTTCGTTTGACTAATCAAAACAACAGCCGAAAACGTAACTGGAGGATGTCAATGAACCGTTGACATTTTCAAGCAGAGGAGAAAGCAGAAGGCGGTAACATAATTGGCAGTTTGTATGTGACTTCGTGTCGCAACGATCCTCCCGTCGTTCGCAGATCGTCCGGTGATCCATAAGATCGAGAGAGGATCGATCACCGGTACCTTTGACTGTCACGTAAATGAAAGACTTGCAGGAAGCGACTGAGATCCAATAATTACATGTATATTTCGTTTTCCTTTTATTTTTTGAACATTAGATCCATTATTTATTTCTCGGTTATTCATGGATCACGAATATTCTCATTGGCTCTACTGCAGCCTCATTTACTCCTAAATGGCTAGAAGGAGTTTATTGGGTAGATATGGATCCTATAACATGGATCTGTTATAGGATGAAGTCTTGTGTAGAATTGATTGTTCAGGTCTGGCAAAATGACTTCCTCTAGATCAATGATGTCAGCAGGCAGGAGGATATCGATATGCGTGTCGAGTCAAAGCATTTAGTATAAAATAAACCTAGTGAATTGGTCGGTTTCTATTAAGCAGTTTTGTGTTTGGAATTTTTATATTTTTTTTCGGCTTCGGATATTTATATTATCTTATTCGAGGTCGTCGTTTCCGCTAACGAGTATATTTTTACGAACATGTACAGCCTTGCTGGATACGCCACCTTTAAAACGATCCATACGGCATTAATCGTTTAGCTCGAGAATATTATAGCCGCTGTTGAAAAGTTGCGTACATAGATATAGGTGATTGAGAGAGAGAGAGAGAGAGAGAGAGATCATTTTTATTTGACTGAGTACGTCGTTTCTGGGACGCGGTATTTAAATTTATAGTTTGAACGATTTTGCTTCTTTATTTATTATTATTATTATAGGTACCAGAAGCCCATGGTAATTATGTAATTATCTTTTAGTATCTTATGGCCTTGTATACTAGCTTTGAAGAGAATAAAGATATTATTTTTGGAAGAAGTACTTGACCTATTGAGGCGGCTGCACCGGGAGTCTAAATAGTGATTAAATATAAGGAGGGTCAATAGTTACGACTTTTCGCGTAATAATAGAGAATTTAAAAAAAATATCTCCCTTTTATTATTGTAAGTTATCGGAAGTTATGTTAAGCTTCGACTATTTGTATATCATCAAAAATACTTTCTTGTGTCTCTTTGGCTTCTGGTAGGTTCAGGATATATATGGTTTGGATCGTGGGACGTTCTATTTCATCACGTAAATCACCTCAGCATCGTTATTCGTGATAGGCAGAATTTGCCTGTCGCTAATTGAGAATACGAGCAAATCGGTAGCTGATGATGCTAGTCATAGCGGTACTTAAGAGACGTAGAATTCGCTTAATCGAAATCATGATCATCCCAACAGTAGATCATCGTTGCAGCAAATGGACTTGACATACATCACAATCCTTCCAATAGGAGATCATCATTGCAGCGGCGGGACTTAATGGTTGTGGAATTTGTCGTTACTCAAAATTAATGATCGCATCGTATTGGCAACAGAAGATCATCGCTCTAATACCGACGCTTAATCGATCGTATAATGTGACGAATGAAGAAAGGAAAAGAAAAAAAGTACTTCGAGACGTGAAAGTCTGAACGAAATAGAGCGGCAACATTGACATGAAAATGTGAGTAAAAATAGTTTTTTGACATTTTAACGGTACAAGTTATACGTATAAGGGACAAATATACAAAGTAGTTTACACTCTCATCGTGCAGGTAGATGCGAACAGGAAGAAGAATTCTTGGAGAAACACGTAGTTTCCGGTCGCGGGAAAGTTAGATATAGGAATCGCGAGCGGAACGTAACTTTTTCGTAAAATGGAATCCGCTCTTTTGTCAAATTTGCCATAATACTCAAGTTTCTTGATATTTTCGCAAGGACTCTTTCAGAATTCGCGATTCGACTTTTTCACAAAACTTTAATATGCCGGTTATTACATAGCTACTTTAACGGAATTTACTCGATATTTGAACTCGATTAAATATAGCGCGATACTACCTTCCGCGTATAGAGGGTGAACGAGAAAAAAGAGTCAAAGAACCGAGACATCCGAGGACGTGATAAGCGACGTAGCCAGGACTGCACGTGCATTCGTGACTTAACGCGGTTAATCGCGAGCGCGTTAATACGATGTGAAATGATGAGATGAAATATCATCATATCATATAGCCACCGTATAATATCTACGCGATAACCGATCGATCGTTTTCACTGAATGGATCGACAAACGTTATTATTATTATTATTATTATTATAATAAATCCTGCTTTAAATAATAAGTCCTGCTTTATTTTCTGTTATATCTATAAGCGAACCAAGTGATATTTTATCAGATCAAACACAGCTGAACCAGTTGGCGCATTATTAGCGAACCGATAAACGTAAAGTAATAAAAGGTTCAGGAAGCAATTTACTTTCGGTTTTCTCTTATCCCATAAACAGTCAGCTGTTTACTGTGATATTTGTAACTGGACTATCTATAAATAGCATGTACAATGAAATGTCAATTTTTAAAGATCCCAGAGACGGAAACACTTAATGGATTCTGTATATCCTAGAATCTGTGGGATATAGGCTATGCGTGATGGAGTAGGTACATAAGGGATGAAGCAAGCTCAAAGGTAACCGAAGCCGCAACCGGGACAAAGCAAAGAGGCCTCGAAGGACCCTGATGAAGACTCACGTGCTGCTGTCAAGACAAGGAAGAGCGCAGCGACTAGACAGAACTTGGAGCACCGAGTCCAGAGTGGAAGCGATGATCGCGTCATGGCGTCTTCGTGGTTACTGTCGTTGAAAGTGGCAGCCGACGATCCAGCTAGCTTTTCCAATCCCACTACGATCACTCCCCCTTTACCATACCCTGGTTCGCCTTAGCTCCTTGCTTATCCCGCTCACCACGAAGCAGGGCCCCCTTTCTTGTATTTTATCACATACTCTTTTGATATAGCTATAGGTACCTTGGCCTGTCCCCTGTCAGGCGGAACGGGGGCCCCTCGTCAGGAGGGAACCATTTTGTATTATACTTTGCATCGTGCTACCCGAAGGATCTAGGTTGGGTAGGGGTTTAGAAGGTGACTGGCAGATGCCATCATCTCATCCACATCCTCTCAACGATCTCTTCTTACTTCTCCAACTCTGTCCTGATCCACCTTATCCTGCTCATCCCGTACCCTCTTCTTATCGATCGACTCGACAAGGCTTCGTCTCTTCGGGAAGTCAAGGAGCTGCAAGGTCTGACGAAAACCTTGAGGAAAAATGGAAGCTCGAACGAAAGTAAATCCAAATCGCTTTTATTTTCGTCATGCGGGTAGATTTGTTTTATGTGTGTGTGTGTGTATATATATGCATATTCGCAGGAGCGTAGGATGAAATCATGATGAAATCTCTTATGGATCAATTTTTCTTCTTTCTTATTTCACCCTTGTGTCTTTCTATCTTCCTCTCTAATTTCCCAATAGAAAAGTTTCCAGCCCTCCAAGGTCAGGCGGGAGTTGATCATCATTCAATGGAAAATTCGAAGAAGCCGTCTGTGCCATTTGGGCTTTCTGTTTCTTAGATAATACAAAGATGTTACTGTCTGCACAGGTCAATGTCAACGTCACAGATAATAACTATATTAACTTATATATATATGTATATCCCACCACGTGCTTTCTACCAAGCAAAATTTGATTTCGCGCATATGATGCTGGATATTCATATTTCGCAATGAGTACATATTTAATAGCGCAGGATGGGTGAAACTTTAGGCGGACTAGGCCCTTGCCGTGATGCTCTCTATTTTGTCATGGCTCGACTGGTATACCGGCCGTATTCCGACAGAAGTAAAGTCCTCCAACCTAGAAACCGAGTTCTTCGACAACGTCATAACAGACGCAGGGCAATTACGAAGAATCATCACTCACGCAAGGGAGATCACAATCAGACACCACTACGAGAAGCACCGTCGCTCGTGGTTAATAAAAAAGCATTATTTATACAAAATATAACAACCAAGCATAAATGTCAGAAAGGAAAGAAAACGACAACCGTAAATACACTGGTAGTATATTAATTATCTGTAAAAAAAAAATTACCAAAGTCTCTCATTCACCGTATGAAAGTTCTGCACGTAAATCAATAGTCATGGACAGTGTAGGTTGCAGGTTGTTAACGACCTTAAGAGTCTCTATAGTCAAGATCCAATAGTTATACTGACATCTCGAAGGCCATTGACTATTCGCAATTCCTAAGAATACAGTGTGATTTTTTTTGGATTCTTTTAATAAGAAAATCATTACAATATTCACACACACACACATATATATATATATATATATATATATATATATATATATGGATATAGGTATATTATGAATTATAGCGATTGATCTTTTCAGATTCCCACAGTTATCGGTGTCAATATTCTTCGCGACCTACTGGGCCGATCGAAAGGATCGTCGAGGATCATAAATTATCGGAGCTACGCGTGCGAAGAAGTGCGTCGGTCACTGCGTCTGCTTACGTATCGGCTCGACTGTGGAAGCCGTTGGCTCGTCGATGCACCCGAGCGAAAGTCCTTCTCCGTCCGTCAGACGCGTTTGCCCGCACTTTCGCATTATGTCGCGAAACTCATGAATACACAATCAACATAAGCATAATAACATTAGTATACGCCGTGAATAACGACAATTTCGTATTACGCGCGTAAGCGCGTTTCTTACGACATTCGTATACTATCCTCGCGGAAGATTCCATCTTGTGTTGCAATATCTACGGAGCAATTCGCTCCTCGTTATAGTTTACAAAACAGCGTTACTCTAATGGCAGCGAATGTCCGATTCGAATATACAATTTCTATATATGTGTAGAACGATTCGTTATCCGCCGATAGCAAAATAAATGCCTACGGATTGCACGAGTGTTTCGACATAACAGACTTCTATCGTGATACGTTATATATATACTCATGACAGCCATACATGACAGCACTACCACACTATACATAAGTTTGACGAAAATGGCAGGAAGATACTTGTAGCTGATCGGTATCGAATAAAGAATTGTAAGATAATCTTGAAAAAGTATGATTACAAGCCTATTGTGACTGACGAGATAAGAAAAAAATAAGAAGAAAAAATTCAGGAGGCTAAAAAGAATTCTTTTGTGTTAAACAACCATAGTTATGTATATACGTACAGAGCGGCTAGATTCACGGCGGAAGGATCGAGCGTTGAAAAATATATTTAGAAAAGGATCCAGCGAATCGGTAGTCGCTCTCACAGTTGTGGCCATTGTGCTTCTTCTTGCTGTTGCAAAAACCGGTGTGTTCTTACGCAACGGACATGTTTCTTGCAGCAATGTAGCTTTACAGGTAACCAACGTGAGAACGTGACTCATATTCCAGCGTGAATCCCGTGCGACACGTGGGTCGTGCATTTACCCAAAAACCGTAATAACGTGACAACTCTCCATGAGAATCGAACATCTTGCAGGACGAAGATTCCCTTGGGATTCTACATTGGCGACTTATATACATATATACAGTGATCGTAATGTCTTGATACGAGTTCGTTGAAAATATTGAACAGACTTTAAATTGTTTGTATCAGCACCTCTGCAATCTTGATTAATTATCTAGAGAACGGTTTTAGGGTGTCTCCAGTCCCTCCCCTTATTCCTCCTCTTCCTATACGATCTTCTTGCAATTTATTTTTTGACAGTATAAATATTTTTTTTTCAAAAATTTCTTTCTGTTTACTCCCTTTTATTGGCATTTTTGTCGATTGTATGAAACTTTCAATAGGGTCTGGGAAATTGATCGACCTTATAATAGTTGTATGATTTTATGATAGTAACGCACTGTATAGATATACTCTTCTGCGCTATCGGGATGAATACATTGTAAATAGAAAATGCATCTATGGCTGCAGGTATGCATTTGAAAGTCGAGGGAAAATAAAATGCACTTGAAGAAACACGAAGAGGATAACCTTCAGGATGCGTAAGTGAGTACATTGTAGAATGATTTTCAACGCCGTGAGTCAAAGATGGTAACTGACTTTGTAAAGGGAGTCATTCATAATAATGTCATAATGACTTGGTTAACATAGACGGTAAACAGTCGATTACGAATTGGCAATTGTTATTGTAAATCTAGACGATAATTGGGCTTTCACTTTTTTTCTCCTTATACAAAGGAGTGACGTATCCATCGTCTCTTTGCCTGTGTAAGATACGTATATTTATGATAAATAATAAGCAGTTAAACATTCACAACAGACGTAATATATCATTTCTATAATTCGTTTTTTCTCGTTCCATACATATCGTACGGTATTGTATCAAAGCTTAATTGTATAATTCTATCAATAGATAAAAGATGAAGAAGCATCCTAAGATGTGAATAACGGTAGATGGCGTTGAATGTACAAATAAATAACGCCACGCGGAGATCTATCCAGAGGCTGCTGATATTTAATACTTTCACTTGAACTCCTTGACCTGCACACAATTGCGGGTGCGTCAGTGTATGAGTGAGATCTTCATGCATATATTAATATGTACCCACTCACGCACGATTTACTCGCATACGAAGTCTCACGTGTGTCCCCCAACGTAGGTTATTTAGGCCCGGGGCCATTTTCTTTCTCTTCGTGCATATACTATATATCAAATCAACTTTTGTTCCGATCCATCATTACTTAATGCCTTAGTTACAATAACTTTTTCTCAATAATCATTCAGACTGAAATTTTCGAAAAATTATCTGTACGTCGCGTGCACGATAATTTTACGATTTATTTTACTCTTTAAAGAAATCATAGTCGATATTTCGTATTTAGCGAGATCCGTTTATGGGACTGGGTCTGAGTGGGCAGAGGAGTGAAAATGAGGAGAGCGTGGATGAGACTTGGTCAAAATAACACATCACTTTCATTTCGACAATCGCCCGTTTAAATATTTCATGCCCAGAGATCAGGTCGATGCCCGAGCAGACGACGCTCGATATTCGTCATCCCGGCCGATTTCACGCCGATCACGATCGGAATACCGAAAGGGCGTTTCTCGTTGTTAAATTACCTATTGTCTTCCGGCTCTCTAGTCCTCGAGAGTGCATGGTTCAACTGTACGAGTAACGAGCTCCTTAGATTGATTTTCTTTTTTTTTTTAATTTTGTATCGTTTTCTCTCTCTCTTCTACTACCGACTGGTATTGGCATCCTAAGCAAAAGAGTTATATCGATTGATAGTTGAAGATCGATTAGATTGTATTTTCCTTGGGAACAAAATCGATCAGAGATCAGTGGTCAAGGGACCTTGAAAGAGTCGGTGTGACTGCCATTCAACATTAAGGCCAAGACCAGGAGACTAAGGTCGAATTACTGTTAACTCACAAAGTGGACTGTATACGCAATAAGTTTCTCGAAAGAAAGAGAGAGAGAGAGAGAGAGAGAGAGGAGAGAGAAAAAGAGAGAGAGACAAATAAGTTTCCGCTTTCGATTTCCGAACGTATGATGTAACATCTGTCCCAGATTTAGTACCTTACTTTCAGCAGAGGAGAGAGAAAAAGAGAGAGAGACAA